GCTGGGGGGATAGCATCTCTTCAAGGACAGCCACTTGGTCGTTTGCACTGGCATATTCAGGGTTGGGTACCTCAGCCATTTCCATAATTTCCGGCTCCATGTTTAAGGAAATACGTTGCAGCGTTTCTCCCTTGGGGCGTCGTTCATCGCTCTCGTCAATGCCCTCCCAATCGAAGGACGACTTGTTGTTGGAAATACCGGCACCGCCAGAATAGCGACGACGAGCCACAAACAGCAGCGCGATTGCCACTAAAACAATCAAGGCTGCCACCCCCACATATGCGCCAATGTAGGCCTGGCTGTTGTCGTCGCCCGAATCCGCCGAACCTTCGACCACTCCTGTTGACGAGTTGCTCCCCGCGGAAACCACATCGCAAAAGCGTCCCTCAAAGCCGCTTGTGCACTCGCATCGCGCAGTCGTGCGGTTTGGAGTACCACCATTACGGCACGGGTACTCCGCAAAAAAGTCTAAAGATGAAACAGCGCAAAAGTGAGTAAATGCGAGAAGAAGCACCTCGTGCGTAAGAACCTGGGCGGAGACAGTAGGAATATGGAGAACAGCGCCACACTCACCAACTTCACACAAATCACCAAAGTAGGTTGTTGGGCACGTGCAAGCAAATCCATTGACCTTGTCCAAGCAAGTACCACCATGCAGGCAAGGGGTGGTGATGCACTCGTCCAACTCAACCTCACACTGATCACCCGTGTAGCCAGTTCCGGTGCAATTGCAAATGGGCACCAAGCCCTCCGGTGCTCCTTGGCACTGTCCACCATGCTGACAGTAGCCGGTGGCGCAGGCATCAACACCAAACTCGCAGTTGTCGCCAAAATAACCATCCTGGCAGTTGCAGGTGTATGCTAAGCCGGTAGACGTGCATCCATCAATTTCCCGCTTGTTTGCGCCGCAAGGATCGGCATCGCAAGGATCTGACACCCACTGGCAAAAGTCACCACGATAGCCGGTGGGGCACTCGCAGGAGTAGCCGTGTACCTCATCAACGCACGTTCCACCATGAGCGCACGCAGACTCGGTACAGTCATCAATGTTCTCCGCACATGTTTCTCCGTCAAAGCCGGGTGCACATGCACAGTAGTAGCCGTCGACCCCGTCCACGCATGTCGCCCCGTTCTGGCAGTCGTGCCCTCCACAGTCATCTGCATTTATTTCACAGTTGGCACCAAGGTACCCTGGCGCACAGACACACCGGTAGTCAAAGAACTCTTTAATACATGAGCCGCCGCTGAGACACGGGTCCAAGGCGCAATAATCAGGCGCACAGGTCAGGGAGGTCTGTCGCATGTTTGCTTGGGTCGCCGGGTTGTATCCAGAGCTGGACACCACTACGCTATTGAGTGGCAGCGTTGTTTGCATGCGGGATGTAAAAGTATACGGTGCAAACTTGGCCCCGCCTTGCAGAGGCGTGACGCGCTCTGACGACGTTGATCCGTCCGTGCGCAAGGTCACCAGCACCAACGAGACGGACAAGGTAGCAGGTTCAAGGGCGCTTTCCAACTCGATGGTATAGAAGCCGTCGCCAGTTGATTCTGCCTCCACAAAGCGGCCCGTATACGGCGCTGACTTGCTCAAAATTGTGGACCCACCCCGTACAAAACGGCTGGCACTCAAGTCTGTGGCCATGTCAGAGTCCGAGCTTTCCATATCAAACCACACACGGGTATCGGAGGTAATGGGCGCCTGTGAGCGGTCATTAAGGTACACCGAGAGCTGCAGAGTACAATTGGAGCGACCAGCGTCCGGCCCTTGTACAGCGAGCTGGCTCCAAATAGGGAAAAAGCCAAACACGGCCTTGGAGAGATAATCCACGTCTGCCACAGTCAAATAGCCATCATGGTCCAGATCCATGTGGCTGGTGGCGCTGGTCACCACGATGCGGGACGAATCACTGGCAAGCAGCGTTTGCAGCCCCGTGGCCACGTCCTTGATGGTAACAGAACAGTCACCATCATAGTCACCCAGGACTGCGGTTGGACACACTACTGCCCGTCGAGCGCGGTGCTCAGCTCCGCTGGCAAACTGGGATTCATGCTGGGGTGCAGGCATTACAACAGTATCACGGCGCGAGACCGAGGCCACATTGAAGAAAAGGTGGCCAGCGATGATGGGTGCATCTGTGACCACCTCATCAAGATTGACTCCAGCGTACAAACGAATCAAGGTACCACCAATGTATGACGTGGCGGGCGCAGTGTCCAGAACCTCAAAAACCACGCGAACGACCTCAGGTAACGTGACGCCCGCGGTCGTGGTCAACGTACCACCCACCTCGACACGGCCTGCATAGCCATCCAAGTTGGCCAGCATCTGGCCAGTAGCCCAGTTTGATCCCTTGAGAACGCGCACGGGTGACAGTGCAGTAGCATCATAGGTAATGGCAATCTGCATCGCCCGCAATGCCCGCGCGCCCATGTGAATGCGAACGGGCACCTCAATCTCTTGGCCGACGTTTAAAGTGCCGAGCGCCAGCCCCGTGATAGCTCCAAGGTCAGCATCCAAGTCGGCTGGATCTAGATTGACGCGCAAACTCGCGGTCAGCGAAGCTCCAGAGGGCGCCCAGGCCGTTAGGTCCACACTGCCGGCACTGTTGGCTAGCAAGGTAACTCGTCCTTCCGGATCGACGTTCAAGGTGTTGACATCGCTCGAGTTGAACTGCAAGATACTGGCCAATTGTCCCATCTCGCGCAGCTCGTTCACGTACGTTGGTGCCCAGGTCTGAACCCCATTACCAAGCTCCAGAGAAAGTTCGAGCGGCTGCACCTCATTGGGCAAACCACGCAAGGCAGCAGTGCCATCGACTGTCAACCCCATGATGGCTGTGATGGCAAGCGCTTGAGATGAAGCGGTCAACTCAATGGCGTTGGATACCAGGCTCTGCCAGCGGAGGCTGATGGTAGTTGCGCCGTCTACACCCACGGTTGTGGCCGTGACACGCGCTGTCTCCGCATCAACAGCGACCAGATTGTTGTTGATCACGAGGTCTGCGACACTCAGCGCAAGTGGGTGCATGGCGCCGTCGGTCAACGTCACGCGTGCCTGCAAAACGGCCTCGGTCATATGAGAACTCCCTTGCACGCGATACAGCGTAGCCATAGTGCTATACCGAAGTGAATCTGCCCCGGTGTATGGAGCAACAGCAAGAGTGATGTTCTCAGCATCCACGACAGTGATAAAAATGTCCGCCGTTACATCCTGATAGCCCATGGTCAGCCGAGCGTAGCCTGCGGTGGAGGAAGCAAGGGGAGTCACGGTGCCGTTGACCACTTGAACCTGCACACCAGTACTCAGTGCTTCGACGGACACGCTGTCCGGCACGACGCTGGCTTCAGAACCATCGTCATAAGCTGCAGTCAGCGTTAATTGCGAGGCGGTGGGAAAACCGAGTTGGACCAGGGCAGAGGCTGGTCCGACCAGCACGTCACTGCTTAACGTTGCAGAAAGTGCCGTAGCGGAACGAAGCCGTTTCACGAGTTGCAACGTGGTTGTCACTGGGGCGTAGCAAGGATGGTGCCAGGCGTAAGAGAGGGAGTCCATGTCGCTATTCAGCTCCACAGCTCCAAACCCGACACCCTGATGGGTTTGAACCCAAGGAGCGTCAGAGTCCGTCAGAGTGACCAGACGACCGGTGGCTGTAACGACGGCCAGGTCAACCAGACCAGCTTGCACGGCTTCAGTAATGCTTCCGCGAAGAGTCATGCGTGCTTCAGGCAGCACACTATTCTCTGTGAGGGTAAACGAGAGGCCGGTTGTTACCTGCGCCAGCAGAGCCACCGGCGAGTCAATTGAGCGCCGGGCCGTGATGTTGATATCATGCTGCAAGCCTCCAGCAGCCACGGACACCCCCACCTGACCACGCGATGTGGGCAGAACCTGCGCATTCAGCACAGTGGCTGGGCCCGACACCATCAGGTGGTCTTGCAAGAAGTCGGTGAGATCCATCTCAACGGTACCATCGTGGGCTGAAAATGCGGCAACGATGCTCACGGAAACCGGCAAAAACGTGGGTTGGCATGTGCCTGCGTTTAGGAACATGTGCGTTTCTTTGCTGGCTGGTGCCAAAATCAGGCTTGAGGGCTGGACGATTGCAAAACTAACGATGGTCGAAATGGCGTCTTGATAGGTGAAGGTGACCGACAAACTATCTCGTGTAAAAGAAGGTGGAACGATCAGGTTGTAGCAATCATTGTTCAAAGAAGCACTGGCAGCAAGGCAGCTGATTTCTGTGCCATTCACAAGGGAAATATCACCGGCATCATCCACAATAGCCGCGGTGACGGCAATGCGTGTGGAACCAACACCGCTGCTTCGGCCAGTCAAGGCGCCAAGATGCAGGGTTTCAGCCACTGGTGTGTCGACAAAAAGAGCTTGCGGCGTGGGATGGCGCACATATACCGTGCCGGTGCTACCGGCGCTACTGCCCAGGCGATCTTCAAACACAACATCGGATGAAGCAGTAAAGATTGGCCCTGAGGCATCATAGGCTTCGCGAACAATCACACCTAATGGCTGAGAGAGGACAGTCAAGGGAATGTTGGCTGCCACCTCAAAAGTGACTTCCAACAATTGCTCCAATTGAACATTGGCACGAAGAGCAGTGGCAACTGCAGTCACACTCACGCCGGACGACTTGTCCAGTGATTGGACTGACCAAGATTCACCATCATACCCGCCAACAACGGTAAATGTGATGTAGGCGCTGTTGACAAATTCAAGCCAGTAGGAGCGCAATTCGGCCGTCGTATTGACCCAAACCTGTACCCTTCCTTGACCGCCAGGTGCGATGCCATGTTGTGGGAGGACAACAGTAATCTTGTCAGCTACCGGTGCAGGCGCAAAGGCACGCAAGCTCACTTCACCGCAAGCCACTGGGCCAACCTCAGTGTCCAACGTCACCGATGCAACGCCTTCGTCTCCGCCAAAGGCACCGGCGCTCAAAGTGACACGAGCCACAACCAAGCCCGTGGGGCTTGTTTCGAACGCCACCGTCAGCGCTGTGGCATCAACGCCCAGAATAGACACGTTCAGGGAATCGATGTCAGGCAACATTGTGGTACGCTGCAGTGCGTCGAGCGGGCGAAGCACAAAAGTAAAGTAGGGCCACGTTTCGTAGACCAGACCCTGCGCGCCCACCACAACCTCGATGGCAACTGGTGCTCCAGCCAGAGTCGTGGCCTCGATAGTGCTGGCCAGGGAAGCTCGGCCCAACCGGGCAGAAGTTTCTGGCTCCAACCAAGCACGACTGGATGTGGCAGCAGTCACCGGGGCTACCCAGCCGTTGCTATCAACCAGATGAGGAACCAAGGATGAGGCTAGACAAGTTGAGCTGGGGAGGGTGACCATTGCCCCATCTTGAAGTTGATCAGCTAGTACTTGCCACGCCTCTGAGGTGTTAATTGCGATTCGACACGGAGACCCTTCGCTAAAGCATGTGACCTCTACATCTGGTGTATCAAGAAGAACAGAAAGAGATGCGTATAGCTCAGTCTCGAGAGCCTGCGGCGTAGCACCAGTGCACACAACATAGTGGGTAAACGGAGAGGTCTGAGAGAAATTTTGTGCTGCAGTCCAGAAAGGAATGTCGGTAGTAGTGGTAGTGGTAGTGGTAGTGGTCGTAGTCGTAGTCGTGGTAGAGGTGGTAGTCGTGGTAGAGGTGGTAGTCGTGGTAGAGGTGGTAGAGGTGGTAGAGGTGGTAGAGGTGGTAGAGGTGGTCGAAGTGGTAGAAGTGGTAGAAGTGGTAGTGGTGGTAGAAGTGGTTGAAGTGGTAGTGGTGGTGGTCGAAGTGGTAGTGGTTGATGTAGAAGTGGTAGAAGTGGTCGAAGTTGACATGTTTGTAGTCGTGGGTGCAGATGCCGTGGAAGTCGAGTTGAGAGTGCTTGTCGCGAAACCAGATGTTGAGGAGATGGCCTCTGTGGTTGTGTCAGACGTGCCGGTACTAAGGTTTCCGGCATCAGTTGTTGTGGCGACAAACATGGTGGTACTTGCAGAGACAGTACTTGTAGAGGCTGCCGTGGTCGAGGTGACAGGACTGGAGCTGCCTGTTGAGGTTGTCACCGATTGGGAGCTAGACACAGAATCGGTGGTAGTAGTCTCAGCAGCTGTGCTGGACGTGCTGCTCACGGCCAAAGTTGAACTCGTCACGGGTACTGAGGACGATTGTGCTGTCGTTGAGCCCGGCGTTGTTTCGTTCAGCCTCTCGTAACTCAATGAAAATAACGTTGTGATCTCCGGGTCTCCCAAAGAACGCAAAAGCACGCAGTTGATATCACCAGCATCAAAACTGACAGTCCAGACGACAAAGCCCAGGCACTCGGCATTTGCACTGCAAAGAGCGCCGCATGAAACTGGCTCAACATTTTGCACCGACTCAATGCGAGCTGCGTCATCAAAGGCTGTCGAGAAAATTAACCGTTCGCTCGCCATGGGCAAGCTATGGTAACGCAGTGCATACCCCGGAACAGCAGGAGCATCAACTTCCTCCGTGGTAGATATGGTGGCGGACGTGGTGGCGGACGTGGTGGCGGACGTGGTGGCGGACGTGGTGGCGGTGGAAATCATGACCGTTGTCGTTGCCGCCGCCGTCGTTGTTGCTGCAGTGGTAGTTGTGAAAGAATTGGATGTGGTTGTGGCATCATGCATTGTTGACGTGAGCACAGTACTCAAGGTTGAAACAGTGTCGGCAGAGGTGCTGGATGAAGATGGGCCAGCCGTCGTTTCGATAGAGGCTGTGGTTGATGTCCGTCCAGCTGCAGTTGTCGAGGAGGTGGCGGTTGAGGAAACTGTCAAAGTAGTTGTGCGCAAACTTGTTGTGGTGTCAAAGCTCGTAGTCGAAGCCGACGAGGATGAAGATGTCACGGGCACACTCGTGGAAATGGTTGTTTCTGAGGTTGTGGATAACGGAACACTCGTGCCAGACGATGTTGCAGGCGATGCAGAAGTAGTTTCCATCACGGTAGACGTCCTTGCTTGCACAGTGGAGGTGGTGGAAGTGGTGGAAGTGGTGGAAGTGGTGGAGGTTGTGGAAGTAGTGGTGGTCGTGGAAGTAGTGGTGGTCGTGGAAGTAGTGGTGGTCGTGGAGGTCGTGGTCGTGATCAGCGTTTCACAGGCCGAGCCTGTGTACGAGTCGGTACACTGGCAAAGACCACTCGATGTTAAACAGGTGCCACCATTTTGACAAGGACTGATGCGTGCGCCTGACCGCTGGAAAGCGTCGAACATGGCAGCCGCGCAGTTCTCCACCATCGCACAGTTCGGGCCGGTGAGGCCCGCGTAACACACGCAAGCGTAGTCGTCGGGAGTTGATGCGTTACAAAACGCTCGGGATGAATCGCAAGTGTTATCTGATGGGCAGACCAGTCGCTCATCACAGGCGGAACCACCGTAACCCAGAGCGCAGCAAGTGCGATCGGAGGTCGCCGTACCCTCATCATACTCATACTCGCCATCTTCATCGCAGACCTGACGCGGCGCGCACTCGCGATTGGAGGTTGCAGTCGGCGCAGTTGTTTCGAATTCGCTAGCCAAGCACGCTGTGATTGTGGCACATTCGCAGGATGAAGCAGTTCGATACGTGCCAGCAGGGCAAGTCGGGCATGGTGTGCATTCCCGGTCTGTTGTTGCTGTGGGCTCTGCCGACTCGTATTCATCGTTTGCACACGGCGCGCGGATAGCACTGCACGAGCGGTCGCTAGTCACATCGCACGCAGCTGTTTCAAACTCAGACTCCAAACAATCAGTGCAGGTCAAGCAAGATGTCGTGCCATCCATGGGATTGATTGCGACGTAAGAATCACCGTTGCTTGTGCACGAGGAATAAGTTGTGCATTCGTCATCAATCAAGACAGTTGGTGCTTGGCAGGCGAGACACGTCTGATCCCGCTCGCAGCTGGCACAAGCAGAGTCATTACAAGCGGTCAGGCACCGCAAGCGAAGGATGTACGGTTCGTTGTCATTGCAGGGCGGCGTGGTAAGTTCGCGCAACCCATAGGGGTACCAGATTTGGCAAACGTCGCGACGCCTGGTTTGGACCGCAAATGTGGTGTCGGCGCCAATGAAGCCAATGTCCTGGCAGAGGTTCTCGGCCGTCCAAGTGTTGTGATAGTAGTAGCCACTTCGCGTTGGTGTGCCCTCCCAGTAGCCGCACACGCGGCCCGAGGTCGAAACGCCGGCAGCATAGGGGTTAGCCATGGAACCATCCGTGCAAAGGTCCACGCAACCGCCCTCCTGTAGATATTTGGAGTTGACGCAAGACGAGCAAACTCCGTTGGCGTCACATGCACCGCAGTCGGTCGGGCACACCACATCGCATAGCGAGCCACCAAAACCCGAGGCACAGGTGCATGTGAACGTGTTGATGCCCTCGGTGCAGGTGGCCCCATTGTGACACGGGACCGGTTCGCACTCATCAATATCCTCATCACAGAAGATGCCGGTGTAGCCAGGCACACATGCGCACGTGTAGCTGTTAATACCGTCCACACAGGTGCTGCCCATGGCGCAGTTGTTATTCTCGCAGTCGTCGATATTAATTTCGCAGTCGTCTCCCTCAAAGCCCTCGGCGCAGGTACACGAGTAGCTGCCGATGCCGTCTTCACACTGTCCGCCATTCAAGCAGGGCTCATCTGCACACTCGTCAATGTCAATCTCACATGCGGAGCCAGTGTAGCCCATGGCACACGAGCAAGATCCAGAAGGTTGACAGGAGCCGCCATTCATGCACGGGTCAATGCGCAAGCCCGTAGACACGAAGATATCATAGCGGTATGCGTTGCAATCCTCCATAATCTCGCAGTCGGGCCCGGACAATCCTGCCCAGCAGACACAAGAGTAATTTGCCACCAGGTTGACACATGTGGAACCAAAGGAGCAAGGCACATCCGCGCACTCGTTGATGTCTACCTCACAGTTTACGCCCGTGTAACCTGCCGGGCACTCACACTGATAGCCATTTCCGCTTTGCGTGCAGGGTGCACCCTGCTCACAAGGGCAATCAAGGCATGTTGCATCGGCAGTGGCACTGCATGCCTGCGCTTGATAAACACTGCCGTCAGTTGCGCATTGCGAACAAGCGGAGCACGAGCGATCGGAGGTTGCTGTTTTGGCGAGGCTCTGATATTCATTCTCTGCGCAGGTCGTTAGGTTGGCGCAGACGCGGTCACTGGACCAAGTGGCGACGCGATCAATGTACTGCCGCGTCAGGTCACATTGCGTCAATGTTTGGCACACACGGTCTGTCGTGGCAGAGGGGCCGGTACGCTCGTATTCAGTTTCTGCTTCACACTCGGTCAGAGCCGTACAGATGCGATTGCTCGTGGCGGTGGGCCGCTGCGCAGCAAACTCACTATCCGTGCAAACAGTAATGGCAGAGCACGCTCGATCACTCGTGGGTGTCGGAGCCATCGATTGATATTCCGAGGTACTGTTGCAACGTGTGAGGGGAAGACAGACGCGATCGCTGGTGACCGTGGGCTCAGCGGTCGTATACTGGGTACTGGTGCAGGATTGAATGACTTGACATTGACGATCACTGGTGGTTGTCGGAGCGTAAAGTTCAAACTCTGTTTCGTTATCGCAGACGGAGACGGTACTGCACACGCGGTCCGTGGTTAGAGTCGGCAAAACGCTGGCAAACTCATTGGTACCGCACTCGGTGAGGTCGCCGCATTGGCGGTCAGTTGTAGCCGTTGCGCGGACAATGACCCACTCTTGTCCCTCCACACAGGTGGAGAGGTCAGTGCAGGCTCGGTCAGAGGTGACAGTGGGTGGACGCGTTTGGTATTGATCTGCCGTGCACACGGTTTGATTTTGGCACACTCGATCGGTAGTGGTGGTCGGGCGTGCCGTGACAAACTGCGTATCTGTGCACTCACGAACGTCGAGACAAACGCGATTTTGAGTGCTGCTCTTGCTTGAGGCTTCGTACTGTTGCCGTGCTTGTTTGGCATAGGAAACAGTGGCCGTGGTTGAAAAAGGGATGCCCTGACTGTCGCCCAGCGCTTGAAGCAAGACACATTCTTCGTTGGACCATTGGACAAACCCAGCGCATTGCGCACTGCTCCAGCAGGTGCGACCGCAGTCCCCGGACATGTTGAGCAGCTGCGAGCTGGTTTCCAGAACCGTTGGGAATATTTTGTTGGCTTCGCCCAGAAGTGATGTGAAGGCAATAGTAAAGCCGCAGGCCGCATATGTCTCGCAAGCCCGATCTGTCGTGCCAGTCGGGGCGGCTGACTCGTACTCCAAGTCGAGGTGACATTCAGTAAGGGCTGCGCATTGGCGGTCGGCAGTAGCCGTCAAGGGGATAACAGCATACTGCGTGTTGCTACACTGTGTGGCCGGCGTGCATTGGCGATCCGTGGTGGCAGTAGCAACAACAAGCGCGTACTCGTTATTTTGGCAAGTGGTAAGCGGCGTGCACTGGCGATCTGTTGTGGCTGTTGGAAGGGCCGTCTGATAATCCGTGGCTGCGCAGGAACGCACGGTCTGACAGCTCCGATCACTGGTGCGAGTCAAAGGGGCCGTCTGAAACTGATCAGCCGCACATTGAGTGGCATTGGCACAAGTACGATCTGATGTTGGAGTCGGGAGCACTGCCGCGTACTGCGTCGCCCAATTGCAAACGGCGAGCGGCGTGCAGGTGCGGTCTGAGGTGGCTGTAGGTTGTACTGACTCGAATTCCAACGAAGTGCATGGGGTAAGGTCCACGCAGGTCGTGTCAGCTTCAAGCGTGCAGGAAGCAGTTTGAAACTGGCTTTGCGTGCACGTTTGGCAGGCCACGCACTCTGTATCGGCATCATCGCGACATGGGGTGGCGGCATATGTTTGGCCAAGCTCGCAGGTTTGGCAAAGGCTGCACTCTGTATCCGTGTGTGTGGCACATGCAGTGCTAATAAACTCATCTTCAGCGCAAAGGCTGCACCCGGCGCACACAGTATTGCGGGTTGCGTTGCAAGGTGATAAGACGTAGTGTTCGGCGGGGCAGCTGAAGCAGGTTCGGCAGACCCGATCGCTAGTCGGTGTGGGCGCAACCTGCTCATACTGGGCGCTTGAGCAGCTTGTGACATCAAAGCATACACGATTAGACGTGGCTGTTGGACCTTGTATTTCGTATTGGGAGCTACTGCACTCAGCCACGTCGGCGCAGATCTGATCTCGAAAGGCGCCGGCAGGAACGATGATATATTGGTCAGATGCGCATGGTGTCACCGGTGAGCACACGGTATCCGCGTAGGCACACGCCTGTGTTAGATAATAGCCCTCCTCGCATTGCGAGCAGGTTTCACATTGTCGGTTGGAAGTGGCAGTGCACGGCGCCACTTGGTAGCTTTGGCCAGCCGCGCAGGCAGTGCACGCACGACAGGTCGTATCGACAAAGGCGCCGTCCTCGAGGTGGCAGGGCGTCTCGATGTATTGATTATTGGCGCAGGCAGCGCAATCTTGGCAAATGCGATCGGAGGTGGCCGTAGGCGCCACGACCTGCAGCTGCCCGTCAGCGCAAGCAGTCCATGCAGAGCAAACGGCATCGCTTGTGGCAGCACATGGCGTGCTGGCAAAAGTCCCCTCCAAGCAGGAACTGCAAGCTGCAGGGCGGATCGTCGGGACAAACAACGTGTGAGACACGAGATGCATGGGTCGGGTTGATCGGGTGCAAGCATGGCAGGACATAGTGCTTCAAGCTGAATGACAAGCCAGTCGTGGAGAGAACGAAGAAGGACGCACCTGTGCAGACTCCCGCGTCCAAGTCCCCATAGGTTCCAGAACCACACTCTGTCGGTAGCACGCATTCTTGAGTTGTCGACAGGACGTAGCCTGACGCACAGACACGGCAGGTCTGTGACGTGTCGCACTCATCGCAGTTTGCATTGCAAGTCGTCAGGCACTCCTGGGTAAGGATGTATGGCTCGTTGTCATCGCAGGTCGTGGGAGCTTTGTCTTCCAAGACACCGTTGGGATACCAGATGCGGCAAACATCGCGCCGGGCCGTCACACGAGCTGTCTCGACCAACTGGTCGTTGTAGCCAAAGCCCAGCGCCGTGCACACCTCGCTAGGGGTGACGGTCGAGTGAAAAAGGTACGAGTCCTTGCTGGGTGTGCCCACCCATCGCCCACACTCACGGCCGGATGCCGAGCCAAGAGAGCCGTAGGCATCAGGAATACCAACCGGGCAGCTTGCCACGCAGGTGCCCTCATATAGATAATAATAGTCATTGCAGGATGTGCAAACGTCGTCCAAGGTACATTCATAGCAGTTGTCCGGGCACTCTAACGGCACATTCGCAGAAAGATATGGTTAGTTGTACGGCAAGGCTTGAAAGCTGGTCCGATGGGTCAAGGAGCGACAAAGCTTACCTGATTCGCAGGTTGGGCCCGAGTAGCCGGCGGTACACGCACAGGCAAAGGCGCCCACGACCGGCTGCGAGCACGAGCCACCATTCTTGCACGGTGCACTGGCACATTCATCGATGTCTTCCTCGCAGTCGTCACCAGTCCAACCGGTGGAACAACTGCACTCGTATGAACCAGCGGCTGACTGCGAGCAGGTACCGCCGTTCACACAGGGATTGCTGGCGCAAAGGTCAACGATCACCGTGCAGTTGGCACCCGTATAACCAAAGGCACAAGAACAGCTATAGCCGTCAGTCTGATCGTTGCAAGTGGCGCCATTTTGGCAGGGCTGCCCCAGCCTGTCGCACGGGCTTACTGCAACCTCACACATGGTGCCTGTATAGGAAAGAAGGCAATCACACTGGCCGGTTTCATAGTCACAGATGCCACCATTCTCGCAAACGGAGGTAGTCACCCCGGTTCTAGCCCACCAGTAGGCTTCAGCAGCAAAGCAGTCATCGAGAGTCTGGCACCGATCACCGCTGTAGCCGGCAGGGCATGTACAGACGTCGCTGCTACAGCTGCCGCCGTTCAGGCAGGCGGTCGCGGCATCTGTGCAAGCATCTATTATTGATGGTGTGGCGCAGAGCAGGGAAGCGTGAGCCCATGGATGCCAATGAGGCCGACAGATACGTTTTGCAAAAAGAACCTACTTGCTGTTTGAGCTAGCCCTAGAAAAACGAGCAAAACCAGCGCTGCTCGCCGGCACACTCGCGCCCGCATTGCAAGCATGATGGTGCTGTGCAGAGTGGAACGGCATGAACCGGCCACGCGCGTAGGTGCTGCAGCAATTTGGATGCACAGGAGGAGTATCAAGAGGGGAGCCAAGAATGGGGCATGAGGCGAGTGGTACACGAGCTCGACGGGTCGGCTCAATCGCAGGCTATAGGCCCGGATCATGACAAGTCAAAGCCTGTGCACGCCATGAGTGTTGTACGCAGCACCTTACCGGCTGGGATAGTGTAGGGGACACCAATCAAACGTGTGCTCAAGCAATCGAATCCTTGGCCTTGCTCCTGTTTGTGGGCCCGGGTTGAGACAACGCCAAGGGTTGAGCGACATGTGGAGGCCGTGGTCGTGGGCCCTCACTTTTGAGTGTAACTTTCTGAGCACCTGCCTAGCAGACGAATGCACGTACGGTGAAGGGAAGTTATTCGGCGATGGGCGGCCCGAGCCCGAGCTGGTCAGGTCGTTTTGTCCCCTTGAGCAGCGGCAGCTCTTTAGAAAGTCTTGAGCGGCAGCTGGAAGTCCGAGGGGAAAATTCAACGCGTCGATCAGTCAAATCGGATCGAGCCAGAGACGCGAACCGAAACCGCTACGGTTATAGAGATGTGTGTCTGTGGTGGCCCCACAACCAAGGCAAAAATAAGCAAAATTCAGAGAACAAGTGTCTTTTGCACCAAGAATCAGAGAAGAGACGCAAAGTCTAGCCAGCAAGTGCTACCGAAAGGGGTGGATGGACACCGCGTCAACGTCAACCACTAACGTTTGTGTGTGATGATGCTTTAACCCATTGTTTCACCGCCCATCGTTCTTCTAATAATAGGGGATGGCGCAGAGAGTGATACATCCAGAGGCCTGCTATAATACTATTGTGATGATGTGAAAAAAAAGTTTTGAATTGAAATTGAGGGGAAAAGAGGTGCGAAAATATACGAAAATGATAGAGTGCCAAAATTCAAAAGTCAGGTTGACGAGCGATTCTTCAGCTAACCAGCACGCCACACATGCGACACGCGCCATGATGGCGACAGGCTTGGTGTCGGGCACGGTGAATGTGGACGAACGGGTGAAAAAAGCATTTCGGTGCTTTGAGGATGTCTAGTTTCTTATAGCGTGGCCGCCACGTCACACGCGCGATCGACCATTTCTGGGGTTATGTCGAGATGAAAGACAGCGCGAACATGAAAGGTGTCAATGCCATGGATCAGGCGAATATTGGCCTTGCCAAACGCCGAGATGACTTCTGGGCCGGACAGGCCAGCTGTGTCACGAGGGCGAAAGATCACAATGTTCGTATCCACGGGCAGCACTTCAAACTTTGGATTGCTGGCCAACGCTGCGGCAAACGCTCGGGCATGACCGTGATCCACCGCCAATCGCTCAATGTTGTCCAACGCTAGTAAGCCAGCGCATGCAATAACGCCCGCCTGTTGGCAAAGACACGGAGATAACATGGGCAAAACATTTAGCCCGGACAAGCCGTGAGAGACAGGCCGGCACTCCAGAACAAGGGCGAGCAAAAATAACCCGAGTCAGCTTTCTCGTCAAGAGGCCTTGAACTCAAGGATCTGTCAACATCTATCACGGCATGTTTTGACCTGACCTGGCGCATGCCTCCGCCTAGGAGCTTGCGGGTGCGACGGGCGCGGCGAATAAAGTCCGCCGGCCCTGTCAGGACCGAGCCCACTGGGGCACCCAAGGCCTTACTCAGGCACACATTGACCGTGTCGTAGGCACGCACATACTCGTCGAGGGGTACGCCGGCGGCCACGGCTGCGTTACACACGCGAGCACCATCCAGGTGCATTTGCAGGCCGTGGCGATCACAAAAGGCACGGGCTTGTGCGGTGAAGTCCGCGGCGAGGCGGCGCCCACCGCACATGTTGTGGGTGTCCTCGAGACACAAGAGACTTGTACGAGGGAAGTGCTGATCGTCCGGACGCACAGCAAAGCGCTCGGCCTGCTGCAGGTCAAGGGATCCGTCCGCACGATTGTCCAGGGTATGCATGCTCACCCCGAAGAGGACGCTGGCAGCACCACCCTCGTAGTTGAAGATGTGGGAGCTGCGTCCACAGATAAGCTCGTCACCACGCTGGCAGTGGGTGGCAATGGCAATGTTGTTGCCCATGCAGCCGGTGGGCACGAACAGCGCTGCCTCCTTGCCCAGCAATTGGGCGGCGCGTCGCTCCAGCGCGGTGACGGTCGGGTCCTCACCGTACACGTCGTCTCCGACCTCGGCAGTGAGCACTGCTTCACGCATCGCTTGAGCTGTGGCCAGGCACGCAAGGCACACACCACAACGCATGATGTCATAACGTCTTCGTGAGAAGCTTCACGATCCCAAGTGTCAAGCAGGATTCACGACGAGCACGGGGTTGCCTTCCCGTGACAAGAGCACCCGCATAAACTTACAAGGGCGCGTGACGGTATCTGAGCGCAGATCAATCAAATTATCAGCACTGCCAGCATTGGCCGTGGTTGGGCTAAGCAGGTGATAGCGACGTCGCACTGGACGTCTGCGGACACCACCGGGGACACGTGCGCCGCTGAGCGCCAGCCCCCTCGCGATGATCGTTTGGCTTCCAATACACCGCAGCATGATGGCGAGAAAAAAAAAAAACCCGATCAACGACAAAAATGTCAGATTATAAGAAAAACAAAGATATCTTCACTCCCTTCGCGTTCACATTATTATCGAGCGGAGCGACCACCCTTGAGAATCTGAATCAGTCAAGTCTGAAAAATCCGCTCTGAATGATTCAACAAGAACACGAGGCTGAGCTTCAAGCAGTTGACCAGTGAGCGTGTAAGTGCGTCTCGTCGCTCGTCTTGAAACGTGAACACGCGGCGCGGGGCAGCCCGGTGTGCTCGTGGTGCTTGCTCTGGATCACTTTGGTGGTCGAAGCGGCAGACAGGCAGTGTTTGTTGTGTGGAATAGGGAAGAGTGGGAGTGAGGTTGCTTTTCTGCCTGCTTGAGTCGGGGCATTGAGTACTTGGAAAGAACCTGGTTCTGATAGTGGGTTCGAGTTTGGTTTCCTTCCTTGGTTGTGCCGTGTCCTGTCATGGCGCATGGACTCTCTGAGAGCAAGTTTCTCTGCGACTGTTTGGCTTTGCTCACAGGTCTTGGTGCTTGATCTGATCAACCCGTGCAGTCTCTGGACTACGTTGCTTTGCGCTCGCCACAGGCTGCCAAGGCATTAAGAGCTGGGATCGCGCATTACTGTGACCTTGCGTTGACCGAGCCATCATGTCGTCGCGTTTCTGGGGAGACGACGACTCGTCGTCGTCCAGCGATGAGTCAGACGATGAGATTCAGCAACAGCCCCAAACAAAGCTGATGTACGTTGCCTGTCATGCCAGCCACAATGTCTTTTCCAACGAAATATGTGGACCGTGTCTGCATTAGCCATGGCGGTCCTTCGAGCTTTCGAGTGTTTGTTCAAACAGGGGGTGTGGGGGAGGTTCGGGCATCCGCTGTGTTGGTTGGCCATCGTGTTGTTGTGTGGAGCCTGGGCATGATGGCAAATTCTAGTCATCGTATCACGCAGTGTGCTTGAGATTGATTCAGCGGGTCTTGCAATGCTACGATCTTTTTTTTTCAACACCCATCAGATGTCTAGCTGCCGATCAACAACTCACGTGTTCTCGTTTTACACCTTGCTAGGCGCAATGCTTTCCTTGCCGGTGATGATGACGAAGACGAGGAAAAGCGTATGGTGCGCTCCAAGGAACAGAAGTTGTACGTCCTTCAAATGCCTCACGCATTTTTTAATTGTGCACAACTCAGAACATTTTTGACCACGGTCTCATGTTGTGACTTGTTTTCGCCATGATTTATGACCGCTCTTTGCAGCAAGGAGGAGATGCTCACCACGGCTCAGCAAATGTCCAACAAAGTGACCGTGTCGGATTGGGCCAAGGTTGAAGATCTGTATACCTCCCTGAACAAGCAGCTGGAGAAGAATCGCAACCTGAACAAGCCCCCTCGCTACTATCTCAAGGTATGACCTTTTGAGCAGCAGGCCCCATTGAACTTTTGCAAACGTTGCAATACATCTCATCGTGTCATGATGGGTTTCTGTGTTTCTTTTGCTGCACGTTTAGGTTGCTATTGAGCTTGAGGATGCCATTAATGCGGCCTGGGGCGACCGCAAGAAGCTCAACAAGACGGCTGCTTCTTCTCTCTCCAAGGTCAAGGTATGTTTGACCATGTTTAGAGGGGCTCTGGATCAGGAGCGTCCGCATTCCGATGGGTTTGCGCCTCGGCACCTCATCCATGGTCCAACTCTCAGGCCAAGCTGCGCAAGTTCAACAAAGATACCAAGTTCTTGGACGTGCCACTGGAGGATACCATTGCCGAGTGCCGCGAGGACCCCAGCCTTCTCGAGGAGGAAGAGGAAGCCGATGAGGATCAGGAGGCTACCGGTGCCGCTGACTCTGATGCCAGTGATAGCGAGGCCGAGGTTGAGGCGCCCAAGGCCAAGTCAAAGGCCAAGGCCAAGGCCAAAAAGTCAACCGAGGATGGCGACGATTCGGACTCTGACTTTTGGAACGATGGCTCTGAGGAGTCGTCAGACTCGGACTCGGATAATGAGGCCGAAGGCGGCTTCCGTTACACGGCCGCCTATTTCCTCAAGTCGAACGTGGTCAAGCCTCAAAAGCGTGAGCGCAAGGAGCGTGATACGGAGAAGAAGCAGAAGACGGTGCAGGGTGCCGGTGACGAGGATGACGAAGACGATGGCTTTCAGCTGGTCCAGCCTACTCGTGCCAAGAAGGAGACGGTTCTCTTCAAGCGTGGTGATGAGGTGACTGTCAAGGCTGTGCTTGAGAAGATGGATGAGGTTCTTCAAACCCGTGGTCGCAAGAACACTTCCCACTTTGATCTCCGCGGTCTCTTGCGCAAACTGTTGGCCACATCGCGCGAGAACAACCTGGGTGTTGGTATTGAGGCCAAGCTGATGCTGCAGATTATTGCCCTGCATTTTGATGAGCCCACTTCCATTGCCGGCTACTTCAAGCCCGCCCACTGGGCCAACTGCTATGACGACGTGATGCAGGTCTACCGCCTGCTCCACGAGCACGATGATCTGCGGATCCAGATGCAGCCCGATCGTGCCGAGGAGATTGAGCAAGCGCCGTTCTTCCTTCAGGGCGATGTCATTAACTACGTTGAGCGCCTTGACACTGAGTTTACCAAGAGCCTGCGTAACATTGACCCTTACACCCCTGATTACGTGGTGCGCCTCCGCGATGAGCCCGTGTTGTACAACTTGATTCTTTTGGCCGAACAGTATGCCATGCGCCTGAACACGGAGGACGATCTCTCTCGTTCGCGTCTCATGCGCATCGAGCACGTGTATTTCAAAACGTCCCATGTGCCCTCGACGATCCGCTCGCCTACCCGCCAGCTGCCCTCGGAGGCTGAGAAGGAGGATGTCGTGCCCGTGGAACCGGAAATCTCGGATGTGGAAACGCTCTGGGTGACGGACGACGCTGTCGAGTCGGACATTACTGGTGTCATGAATCGTCTCTGCACTTACATCTACTCACTTCAAAACGCCGATCGCAAGCGCCTGCGCGCCATGCTTTGCCACATTTACCACAATGCCATCTTTGACCGCTTGTCGCGTGCTCGTGACCTCATGTTGATGGGCCATCTGCAGGAGAACATCAACCACGCTGATCCTTTAACCCAGATTCTGTACAACCGCACCATGGTGCAGCTCGGTCTGTGCGCCTTCCGTCGCGGCGAGATTCAGGAGGCCCAACATGCCCTCCATGACATTTGGAGCTCTCGTGTTCGCGAGCTTTTGGCTCAGGGCATGTCGTACCGCAAGGATCACGACAAGTCACAGGAAGACCAGAAGATTGAGAAGGCGCGACAAACGCCCTTCCACTTGCATATCAATCACGATTTGATTGAGAGTGTGTTCTACACGACCGCCATGCTTTTGGAGGTCCCCTTCATCTCGCAGCAGATGCACGATCCCTCGCGGACGCGCATGCCCATTCGTCAGTACCGCCGCCAGTTGGATCAGTTTTGCGGTCAAATGTTCACTGCGCCTCCGGAGAACACGCGTGAGCGCATCATGGCCGCTTCGCTTGCTCTCATGCACGGTGATTGGAAGACGTGCTGCGATCACATCCTGAACCTCAAGGCCTGGAAGTTGATGACCGATCGTGAGGCGGTGTGCGCCATGCTGAAGCAGAAGATCTGCGAGGAGGGCCTGCGCTCCTACCTGTTCCATGCCAGTGGTCACTACAACTCTCTTCAGCTTGCTTTCCTGGCCAAGAAGTTTGAACTCGATAGCCGTACGTCATGCCCTCCAGTTCATCCTGGTGTGTTCTTCCTTGTCGCATGCTTATCACAATTTTGTTTTGTTTTGTTTTGTGTTTTAGGCCGTGTGCATGGCATTGTGAGCCGTATGGTGTACAGCAACGAGCTGCATGGCAGCATAGATGAGGTCGAGGGCACCGTGGTGATGCATAAGGCTGAGCCCAACGAGCTGCAGCGCCTGGCCATGACCTTTGCCGAGAAGGTGGGCCAGTTTGTCGAGAACAACGAGCGACTCGTAGATGTCGGCTCGGGCACAGGTGGTTACAAGGACCGCTACAACAACACCTCCCGCAGCTACAAGCGGTTAGTCTTTCCCGTTCGGTCGTTGGCGCGTTGCGTTTGAGGACCTTTGTTTTTTTATTTTTATTTTATTTTTCTTCTTCCGTTTCTCTTTCTCTTTTACCTCCTCTTCCGTACTTCTCACGGCTCTGTGTGCCCGTGTGGGGATTCGCTTGCGTTTTCTTCTTCAGCTTTGGTGGTGTGCGGCGGTACATGCGCCCGATGCACGATCGCGGCGAGCGTGCCACCACTCTGACCACTGGTAACGGTACGGGTGGCTTGAACACCATGGCCACGGCTCAGGCTAGCCTGGCTCCCTCCACGCAGCAGGCGGCTGCTCCTCCACGCACGTCCGTCTGGGCCAAGTAATCAATCAGCACCGAGGCTGTATCCCATTCCGACCGGCAACCCCTGATTTCTGCTGTCATGCGTTGTGCTATCTTGTGCTTCTCCCTTGGGCGTGCCTTACGCGCCATTGTTTGTTTTTTTCCTCGCGACTGTTCTGGGATGCTTTCCATGTTGTAACCATCTCGTCTGTTGTCACCTACGCCGCGCGAAGATGAGGTCTTTGAGAGGGGGTTTTTTTTGGTTGCTCTTGAACCATGAACAAAGGGGAAAGAAAAATCTAGTCAAAAGTCGATTCGATTCTGACCATCCAACACTTTCACAAAGAACCAAAGAACAAAAGCTCCTCCAGCTTTTTGTCTCTGTTGCTTGCCATGTCGTTCCACTTTGGTGTTCTTTTTTACTGTTGTAACCTGCCAGTTTTTTTCCTCCTTTTGTGGACTTGATCAAGATGGTCGGTGATGGCTGGTGCTGGTGCTGGTGCTGGTGCTGGTGCTGGTGTCGGGCTTGCTACGCGGCGCAGGGCTGGGCTGCGGGCAAGGGAGCTGGGTGTCGGAAGAGCGGGCAGGGTAGTTCACTGGGTGGGAGCTTGATGTGTATGGGCATTGAGATTTTGGGGTCGACTTTGATCGGGTGAAGCAGGATGGCCTTGTGAGCCTTCCGACGGTGGCCCAAGTCTCAACGCTTGCCTGTGATGATCGCGTGTGTATAGGCTGCTCCGCCGCCGCCGCCGCCGCCGCCACCGCCACCGCTAATGGGTGCGTTTCTATCCTTGTGCCCCTGTGATCTCACCATGCGTGACCGAAAATTAAAATTGTTCACTGCTTCAATGACCATGATCGACATGTTATTGTGTGCTTTCATTCATAATAGGTGGTGGACCTCCACCCCCACCCCCACCGCCGCCACCTCCAGCGGGCCCTGCCGGCGCCCCGCCACCGCCACCGCCCCCTCCACCTGCTGCCGCTTCCTCAGGTATGTATCCGCGCGCCCGCGCGTGTATGATCGCGCACGATCGAAGTCTTTTGCTGGCCGTGTACGCAATCGAACGATTCACTCGTCTTATTATACAATGTTGCAGCACCACCACCGCCAGCTCCGCCGGCGAGCAATAATATCGGAGACACGCCTGCAGAGCCCGCCACGCCGATGGTCTCCCAAAACCCAGTCACGGTATGCTGCCCACACGTCTTCTCAACCACGTTGGGCGCGCGGCATTTCACACCAATTTATCTGCCATTCCTTGCGCAGGAGGTGTCGGTCGGAGCTGGCGTTGCTGCCCCATCTGAAGACAAGGTCAGCATGCGCCTGTACCACAATTGCACGCAGCCGATAACTTGAGGGGTGGTCCGAAACTTGGTCGTGGATGCTAATGTGACCTTTTTCCATCCCTGCTCCAGGCATGGGAGCGCCCCTGGTCCATTCCCGAGCTGCGTGCGTCAACTACGCAATGGTCGCTGGCTGCTGATGAAGGTCTCCGTCATCACCTGGAGCAGGTGTGTTGCCAAATATGTTCACTCCGCCTTGCGAGTTGACATGGCATACGTGATGCAGCGATCAAGCCAGGCCGGTCGACAGCCCTCATCCATCACTCCCTCGGGTCGCATACGTAGTTCTCGTCACATCTTCTATCACGCACCTCGGAGCTTGAGAAGGCTGTCGACTCCCTGGTCACAGAGACCAAGATGACCCAGGTTCGAGCAGAAAACGTCATCAACGGATTTATGATGCTTTCAAACACTCAGGTCAGCCTTGCTGCTTGATGCATCGCGGGTACCTCCTACCCTAAAGAATGCGGGCCAGATGTGAACAACACTCCATGCACAGCATTGCTTATTTGCTCGCCATCTTTCCGTCACGAACCTATCATCTGTTAAACAGTTTATTGAAAGCCGTGTTTATGAGGATGACGTGGATACGGCCACACCGGCCGAGGCACCGCCACAAACAGACGGCAGCGGAGGCGCTAAAGATAAGGAAGAGCAGCGCAAGGAGATCGTGCGCAAGTTTACCGATTCCCTTCAGCTTGGCCTCAAAGTGCTGGAGGATCATTATGAAATTGTGGAGGACCAACCGATGGAAATGGATATAGACTCGGATGCAGGGTCAGACGTTGGAGCTCCCGCACGCACGCAACAGCGTCGCTATCAACCCAAGGTATACCCTCCACATTGATTGAATCACTCTTTCCATGCTCCAGATCAAGAGCGATGTTGATCGTGGTCGGCTGGTTTCCGTTCTTCTGTCTTTGCGTCCTGGAGCTTGCGCTCATTTTCAGGCTGTTCACTGTTTTCCTCGTTTACGAAGACATTTCAAAAGCCGATGATTCATGTTGCTCACCTCCTGGCATGCTGCTTTGGTGTTGCTTTTATTTTGACTTGTGTCGGTGTCACAGTCGGCATACGCACATCGCCTTTTGCCCTACATCATTGGGACGGTGGCCTATATCGAGGATGCCACAGTGGGTCTCAAGGATTACCATGCTGAGGAGGAGGAGCTTTTGGTTGACGAGGACGGTGACGGGGCCAGTATCATTGCTTCCGAAGACGAGTTGGAGATGGATGGTCCAACCTCAGATGGCAGATTCGAAGGTGAGGCGCGCGCTGTTTGTTGTGTGGTGCTTCAATCTGGCGCCTCAACCACGCTATGCTGCATCAAATCTGTGCAGACCCTCTTGCAGACGAAGAGGAGCCCGAGGCAACAGCCATCCCGCCAGCCCCTCCGGCGGCTATGCCCAACATGTTTGATGTGCCTGATAGCGCCGACGATAGCGAAGATGACATGTTTGCCCCTCAGGCGCCCAAGGTATGACATGTCATCACTGCATTATAGCAGCCTCGACCATTTGTGCACTGATCAACCACTGAACCCGGCCTTGTAGGTCCCGGCTGGTGCTGCTCGCATGCATGGCCAAACCGCCGAGGAGCAAGCTGCTGCGGGGAGTATGCTTGAGGAGGAGATGAACACTCCTGCTCCCGTACCCGCCTTTGCAGAAGCTCCCAAGAAGGCCCGTGGCCTTTTTGATGATTCGGTGCGTTGCATTGCCGCATTGCCTGCAGGACCGCCCGTGCTGTCGGTGCATGTGCAAAGGCCACGCTTGTCTTTTGCACCAACTGGTGCCCATGACACCTTGACGCGCTCACGCAATATATCCGTGGCAGGATGAGGAAGAGGAGGATGACACCTTTGCGCCAGCAAGTTCAACAGGTGGTGCAGGCGAATACGTGGAAGTGGCTGGTGATGACGACGGCACTGCCGTCACAGCTCCTGCTCCTGCCAACCCCGTGAATCCTTTGGCAGCAGCAGTTGCAGCAGCGGCAGCGCGCCGACGTGCTCAAGACAGCGATGAGGAAAGCGACGGTGAATTTGGCACGCCGTCCGTCGGGGCTCCCGCAATCGCAGCGGCCGTCGCCTCCGCCCCTGTTCCCGCGGCACCTCAAGCAGCACCCGCCAAAGCCAGCGGCAGCAGCAAAGGGGGTCTGGGTGGCTTGTTTGGCGACGAGGATGAGGACGAAGATGAGGATATGGGAGCCTTATTCGGTGCACCGACCGGTGCACCGGCTGTCGTGGCCCCCGTATCGCAGCCTGCTGCTCACCAATCAGGTGGGTTGATATAATGTGCCTGTTTGCGTGCTCTGTCCTGTCATCCTCACTATGTTGGCTCATGCGCGCAGCAGCAGGAGCTAGCAAACCGAAGAAAGGGTTGTTTTTCGATGATGACGACGACGATGACGACGACTTTCTGGCTAGTGATGGCAACCTTTTTGGGGACAAACCCACGGCACCTGGTAAGCTGCCTGGGCTCTCTTGCTGGTATATTTGTGGCAGTCGAGGGCGTATCTGCCGATCTTATCGTCCGCCTTTTTCTGCTTTGGCTGTGTAGCAGCAGCAGCAGCAGCAGCAGCAGCAGCAGCAGCAGCCAAAGCTCCCAGTCGAAGCTTGTTCGATGATGAGGAGGAGGATGAGCCTCTTGTGCCCGCTCCGGTGAAAGCAAGCCAACCCAAACCCAAAGCAGTACGCTAACCGTCTTTTATTGTTATCGCTTTTGTTCACTTAGAACAACTTTTATTGCATGAAAAGAGCACTTGCTCACTCAGTCTTGTTTTTGTCGGCACATTGGGCACACAGGGAGCCTCTTTGTTTGGCGATGAGGAAGATGACGATGAATTTGGGTTTGACGTGGCAGCCGACCAGCCCCCGACAAAGCCTAAAGAAGCCTCGCCTGAGCCTGAACCGGTAGAGGTGGGTTTGTCATTCGATTGATGGTATCAGGAGGTCGCCAGAAGTGCCGTGTTTTTTCAGTTAGCAGCCGATGAGGCGATTGCTGTCGCCTTGCCTGACTGCGTTGCGTGTGTACCCATGTGTCGTTCGATCAACTTGCAGGCACCTTCCAAGCCTGTTGGTCCCAAAAAGCCAATTGGAGGCCAGGCCACATTCTCTCCTGGTCTGCTTACCGAGCTGCATAAACGCGGCATCGGCGCTTCGTCACCGGCAGCTGTAAATAACGATGCAGAAGAGCCAGCGAGCAATATCAGCGACAAAGATGAGCAGCAACCAGCAGCGCGAGGAAACAGTGCTGCGGCAAAACCCAAAGCGGCCTCGCAAGGAAGCTCATCCCTCTTTGACGATGACGATGATGACGATGGCGACCTGTTTGGTGGGGCTGGCGCAGCTGCTGAGAGCACCACCAAGGAGCCAACACCCGTCGCCACGACGACAACTTCCAGCAATGATCGCAAGCCAGCGGCCACAAACACCCTGTTTGGGGGTGATGATGATGATAGCGATGGCGATGATTTGTTTGGTGGTGCTGGCAACAAGAGCCAAAGTGAGAAGCAAGTAGTCAAGAAAGCATCGCCTGTTCCCACAGAGTCGGCAAAGGCGCCGACTGCGGTAGCGCCTGGTGATGGTTTGGTCAGTCGACACCCCTCTGGATCCGGTCACGCTCCCCCTTTTTTTTTTTTTTTTTTTTTTTTTTTTTTTTTTTTTTTTTTTTTTCCTCCTCTCCGTCGCTTCTCCAACAAACTTTTTTTTTTTGCTATGCACATTTGACGGGCTTTGCTGCAACGTCACTTCTCACAGGAAGCAGCTTTGGATAAGCCTCCAGAGACGAGTCACATGCTCGTGTCAGCCACCAAAACACGCGCCGGCATTCAGGTACACTGACGGACCATCTGTGAACTTTTGGCCCGCGTTTTTCTGGAAGCCCTTTCGGACTCACTGCACCCGGCTAATTGCTCGAACGTAGCGTGGCACGCGCCGTTTGCCAAGCAGAAGACGCGGCAAAGGTGAGGGCCCGTGTTCTCTGCTCGTGTGCTCTCGTCCCGCGCCTTGTGTTTGCCTTGTGCTTGAGAGCAAATAAAAATTGTGTCAATATGCTGCTTTCTTGTGCCGCGCAGCACCTGATTCCAATGCAGCACCAGCCCCGGCCCAGACGTCTGGTGCTTCCTCCAACAGTAAGCCAGCCGCTACTACCGTGCCAGCACCAGCAGCAGCTGAGCCAGCCCCCATGCCGAGCTCTCCCAAGATGGAAAAGAAGCCAGCTGAGGTCAAGGAGACAAAGCAGAAGACTCCCGAAACCGTTGCTGAGGTGTGTGACCGCGCCATCAAGTCCATGCCATCGTGTTTTATCATGCTTCAGCTGACAGATGCATGTTGCTTCAGGTCAAGAACGGCACTGTGGACGACATCTTTGGTGATGACGATGGTGATGACATGTTCAAAGACACGCGCAAGGTCACAGCCAACGGCAATGGTAAAACAAAGCAGGTATGTTCAACCATTCTCAGACGTGTCAGTGTGCTCAGGACCCGGTGGTAGCTAACACTGTGATGGTTGACAGGCAAAAGTTTCCAAGCCCTCCGCTGCTGCCAATGCCAAGGCCTTGGATGATATTTTTGGTGGTGCGTCACGTAACTTTATGTGCATCGCTCTTTGTCAGATTCAACAGTCCCAGGTGCTACAGTTCAACTAAAGAGCGGTGCTTGATCTTTGTTCATTCTGCGTGGCTCTGGATTTGCATGTGAGGTTAGAGGGTGACGATCTCTTCAAGCAGCCGGTGGAGCTAGCAGCTTCGTCCAGCAAGGCGACCAAGAAAAAGAAAACACCCAAAGCCGCTGCCACGCCTGCCACAGATGGCACGCTGGACGACATTTTTGACACTCTCGACTCAGTTCCAGGTGCGCATAAGGGTTTTCTTGGAGTGTACCCTTTGGTGATATATACAGGTCAAAATGCTTCAACTCACATGACGCATGTCTGCTATCCAGTCAAGCAAAAATCCGTCAAGAAGAAAAAGAAAACGACCACCAGCGCAAAGGTGACCAAGGCAGATCTGGATGATTTGTTTGCTGATTGATCTTATTGAACGCTCAAGCAAAGGGTCAGAATTGCCCAAGCTGTTTCTTCTTCTTCTTCTTTTTGTTCTGTCTGGTGCTTGCCTCTTCCCTTTCGCCTTTGGGCGCCTTTGCTCTGGGTGTCCTGACGATCCAATTTAGGTCTCTTTTCTTGTGGACTTGTGTCTGAAGTGTTTGAGAAAGGTGTTCGATTATAACCTGCACAGCATGGACCGTAACCTTAGCAGATCACAAGTTGTGGGATGGCCAACAGATGATAGGAAAACAAGACTGTACAAACTCAGATCGGAAAGGGCAAGTCTGCCAGCAGGCATCAGCGCGAGACTAAGCAGGTGAGAAGAGACGAAGAACAAAGAATACACGCGCGTGCACACACACGCACACACACATGATTTGTGTAGTCTAGAACCCGAAGGCAGAGCAAGGAAAGTGCTGCTCCTTTGACCAAAGGCAAACACGCAAACACCCACACACACCAACAGATACTTGAAGGAAAGAAAGAAGAAGAAGAAGAAAGAACAGGCGAAAGGAAAAAAAAAACCAACAACAACAACAACAAAGCCTGAGGATGCAAAAGCAGAGGAGCACATCTAGGGGAACAGACATTGAATAAAAGCCTTACGCATGTGTGCGGTGAATGCCCATGCCATCGCGCGTGGTCATCCCGGTCAACCACAGATCCGGCTCAAGCCATTGAATCTAGTTGGCAGCCTTGGCGTGAATCTCACGCCTGTTGTGTGCTGCCGGCGTCGGTGGCCGTCGCTGACGCCGCGGTTTGGGCTGATACCGAGCTTGCAACCTCGGTGTTGCCCGCCTGTTTTGTAGCATTGGCTTGCGATCCGCTGGGATCAGAAGCCAAGGCTGTGGTAGATGCGGGTGTAGTCACTGTACTTGCAGTCTGTGTCGCGCCACTTGAGGTGTCTTGGGCCGCGGCCAAGTCTGTTGTTGCAGTTGCCTTGTCATCCACCCCTGCGCTTGTGGTAGCTGCTGTTGCGGCCTCTTGAGCAGCGCGCGCTGTCTTTGAGGCGGCAATGGCGGCCGGCGGTGGTTTGATGTCACCCTCAAACCACAGGCGAACGGTGGGATCTTCTGTCAAGCCGCCTGTGGCAATGATGTTCTCTGTCGGGTGACAGCTCACACCCAAAATCACATCTGCGCGGAACAGCAAAGTGGTGGGCCATGGCGTCGGAAGAAAAGGTAGCGAGCGCAGGACATGGTGACACGGATGTCGTCATCACATGGGATTAAACAAGTGCGTACCTTGATGTCCCTCCAGAACTTGAACCACGTTGCGGTTTTGTAAATCCCAAATGTACAGCTTGCAATCCTCGCTGCCGCTCACCACGTACTGCGCAGGCGAGGGAATACCACAAGCGATGAGGTGCCTATGTGGAGAACCCCTAGCGCACACACAGGCAGGCGTGTAACATACCTGGCCGTTGGTTATTGAGAAACTCAGAAACATGCAAAACTTGCGATTGACATGGCCTTCGTAAGTCTTGAGACACTTCCCTGTGGCACAATTCCAGAGCCGGATTTTACTATTAAGCACGAACGGTGGCGAGTCGAGTGAGCACTCATACAAAGGATGTCTCGTCAGTCGTCAAAAGACCAGGGATAGGCATGTGCACAAGAATGACGAAGGGTCGAGGTGGGTTTGTGGCAAAGCGGGGAAGAACCGCCTTCATTCATCCAAAAGTTACGGGCACAACTGCGCAACCTCGTACCTGTCCAAAGTAGAGGCAAGTACGAATTTGCCGTTTGGCGAGAAGCAAACAGCTGAAACAGGTGAATTGTCGTTATCTGTTTGCATTGGCAATGCGAGCACTTAAATGAGTTTGCAATCGAACCAGAAAAACAAAACAGCTTGAGCACTCACCAACGAGAGTTTTGAGGCATTGCCCCGTTGCTGTATCCCACAAACGACTGCGCACAAGCACCCGAAAAGGCAATGTGATAGCAAGAGCCGTTGCATTGGTGGGTATTGGTGGGTGAGTGAGGCCGCCACGATGGACACACAACAACCGGCAGCCGGAAGACTCGTGGTATGAGTCAGCAAAAGCGAGTTCAAATTGTATAGACGAACCATAGACCATCATAACTGCCCGAAGCAATCAATGAACCATCACGCGAGAAGCAGACCGCGGAAATTGGATCAGAATGGGCTGAGAGCTGCCTCCGGCACACGCCAGTTTTGACATCCCAGATACGAACGCTCTCATCAAACTATGTGCAAGAGTTGAGTGGGAAGCCATAAGCACACACGCTGTGTACCAGAGCAAGGCGGGAAGAGGGATTCAAACCACCAACCGATCCTGAGACAAGCAGGTTGCCCTGAGGGTTGAAGTTGACACAAAACACGTAGTTGATATGATCTTTCAAGGTTTGAACGCATTGACCCTGCGTGATAAATCAAGTTTAATGATACCCGGCGTGAGCGGTCAAAAAGGTGGGAAAGGACATAATGCCTTTTCTTGCTTTGACTGCTGTGGACGGCGTGCAGGAGAAAAGGAAGAGAGAGAAAGAGAGAGAGAAGGAAAGGAGAGAAGGAAGAAAAAAAGGGGAAAAAAAACAAAAAAAAAACAAAAAACACAGAGGTTTCGATGAGAGGAACTCAATGCGACCCGCACCGTGGCTGCATTCCAGATACGAATGGTGGTATCGTCCGAGGCAGAGGCCAAAAAGCGGGAGTCGCTTGACCAGGCCACATCGTTGACGCCAAGCTCATGGCCCGAGAGCGTGGACAATAGCTGGCCGTCGTAAGCGTTCCAAACCTAGTGGCGCCGAGTGAAGATGTATAGTGAGTGGTGTTAATGGGAAAGCAGGCAGACTGGACGAGACCTAAATGTGTGGCAATGAGTCATTGCCTGCCTGCGCACCTTGATGGTTTTGTCGGCTGAGGCTGACGCGAGCTTGAGGCCATCAGGGCTGACGGATTGGGGCAGGAAGGGTGACGGCAAGGCAATGAGAAGAGGAGAGGACGGGCGGGGAGGTTGCATATGACGAGGAACACGCGAACAAGTTTATCAAGTGGACGAGACGACAAAGTCGGGAAGATCAAAGGTTGGGGATGGTAGCAAAGGCAAAGGTGGTGTTACCTGAATTTGACGGAGCTGACGGCACGTCGATGACCACGCAAGACGTAGCGTTGCTTGTAGGCTGGGCGCTTACTGCTCATGGCAGTGGCAGGCGTGGCGGTAGTGGCCTGATGCTGAGGGTGGAGTTGCGAATGCTGTCGGGATGAGGTGAGTTGACAAGCTTCGGTTTTCTCGTCGGACAAGAGGGTGGGTCAAGACAGTTTCACGGTCGAAAAAGTCGGGGAAGAAGGGGCTGTGAAGTACAGTGGTGGACTGGTCGGCAGGCTAACCTGGGATAGGGGTTGAAGTGGATTCATGTTGCGAGCGTACTTGACATCCTGTGCTCACGGCTGGACTGGTCGGAGAAGCTGCTCAAGGGCGGCAGCAAAAGCAACAGCAAGGGGAGGGCCGCCCACTGGGCGCGTCTCCGAGTGAGCGCCCAGTGTTTCGTTGTGCAAAGGGCAGCCGTTTGTCGGGGCCACACAAAAGCTCAACCAAAGTCAACGCGCCTCTTCCAAAGCAGTGCGCTGAGAGATTGGACACAGGAGCCTCACAAGAAGACCCTGATACCCGCCCCGCCGGATCAAATCGTGTGGCAGCGGGCAGAGCACAAGCACGACTGGCGCTGCGCCACTGGCGCCAAAGAGGGCCCGCGTTGTCTGTCTGCAGCACACTCACACACACTCACGCTCGCTCGCGCACTCTCTCAATCACATACGCTTTCACTGATATTCTCTCGCACACACGGGTTTCCGCTTGGGATGTCTCTGAATTTCACTCTCCTTCACCCTCTCTCTCTGACACCTGCACACACACACCCTCTCTCTCTGAGAGCGAATGGATGAATACTGGATCTGGTGCCCGGCTGGGCAGGCGAGAGCAACAGAAGCAGCCTCGGCTCATGCACCCAGCAACGACAACCGACTGGAACGAAAAAGGCTTTGAAGAAAAAACCAGGAATGCGGGGGCCGCTGCCGTTTCTCCAGCGCGCGCTCAGGGAGACAAGGTCGCAAACAAAAGGAAAAGCCACTGAACACGACGACTTCAAAGAACAAAAAAAGACGGCAAAAAACCGTTTTTTTTTCCTTTTGTTTGATTTCTTTTGTCTTTCTGTTGGTGTGTTGTGTGTGTCCTCTCTCTCTCTCTCTCTATCTATCTATCTATCTCTCTCTCTCTCTCTCTCTCTCTCTCTCTCTCTCTCTATCTCTCTCTCTCTCTCTCTATCTATCTCTTTCAGCCATATGGCAGCGATGGGAAGCGGCTCTCGCCAACAGCGGAGCACATGCCATTGCAGACGGGCCTGATGGCTCTTCGCTGAGACCCGCTTGACCGGCGTCCTACTTGTTGCCCTCTGCCAGGAGGGGCGGGGTCGCACGCGCAAAGAAGGGAAAAGATGCAGGCACCGCGTACCGCGTGGGCCCCCGTCACACTTGAAGCGCCTTTCACAGCGTTACGTAGTGCGATATCGCCACACCCGCTGACCGTCCCTGTTGACGTAACGTTAGGGCGGCTTTCCAAGCACAAGACCTGTGCATTACCACATGCGTCGCACTTTGACACACTTTGATAATTACACACAGTGTTCGAAGGCAGTGACAATGGATCAAAATTTCGTTCAAACCAAACACGACAATTTAACACCACAAAGCAAGACCATGGGTCGGCCGCGCACCGAGGGCATCGCCGCGCTGCACAGCAGTCACGACGGAAAAGTACCCACCACACCGAGGATCATGGATAAGCATGCTTCTGCAGTTGTACACAACAAGCAAACAGTACATCCAAATGTACGCTAGATAAGGTTTCTACAGCCGAGCAAAGCTCCGCGCCTTGTACCACCCACCACCTTCCTACTCAAACAGAATAGCCTAAGACCGCATGATGCTTCAAGCCGTTGTTTCAGTCTCGTGATCCATAGATGGACGCACAAGATTGAGAGGTACCAGGCCGGCCTGGTCCTCATCCAACATCCCCTGCCACCATCCTATACAGCAGCGGTCCGTCTTTGGTGAGCACGAGAGCCACATAGCGCACCGACGCACCCAGAATCAGGATACGAACCTGACTGAGGATCTTGCCCGACCAACGTGATAATGTCACCCTACGAGTTTAGCCACACGGTATCAGCCCAAGACAAAAGGTGCGACCACTGCCTGCCGAGTCTAAAGTCTTCAGCGTCGAATCGAACACCTCACCCGCTTGAATGTGAGCTCATCCGGATCTTGGCCCGTGAAATCAGCCAAGGCTAGAAGGATGGTGAGAAGGCATGCGGCAAGCAGATGCACCTGAGCCGACTCGACAGAGCAGAAGAAGTGGCAAGAAGATGGACTGTCGCAAGCCATCGCAACCGGGTGCCGGTCTCCAACCCGATCGGAAATGTGGCACCCACTCACCCTCGACATGGTACGGCCGCTCACGTGTGGGTGGGGCATCAATGGGCGGATTAAACGCATCCTCGGTACAATCAGGCACTGTCATGCCATCTTCGTCACCGAGCAAGTCGGTCAAGTCCGATCCCAACTGAAGAGTCAGCGCAAGAATGAGCGTAGACGGCAACGAGGCGCGAACCACAGCGATGATCCCACGGATACCAGGACCCACCGTGCTCACAGCATGCACGTAGCGCGAAGCCATTCTACATGATGTGGGCCCCATTGCAAAGCGGTTGTTAATGTTGAGACTTGAGGAGGCCCCATGGCGGAGCACAAAGCTTCAACCCGACCATTGTGAAGAAAACCCTCGTGAAACGCACCGAGCATCTTCCACGGGAGTAGCATCCACCGACACCGCCACACCATGTGCCGAACGCACGGGGGTTGCATCTGAGTTTCTCGCACCAGCACAGGATGCACCCGCCAAGGTCATACAGAACGCCAAGAAAATAAAGAACAATAGAAAAGCTTCCAGATCTGGGAGCAGGGTGGAACTGGGCCGAAGAGTAAAGCACGCACCCGACGTGGAAGTGGCCTCGTGATCAGCGTTCACATTGGCACCCCATTGTTTGGGATGCCGTTGCCGGACCGGGGTGGCATCGGTCGCCAGTCCACTGTCCGTCCCGCCGCCTAGCCGCCCGACACCCGCCTCACGCTGCGAGTCCGCAAAGTCACCCAAATGGCTCTGGTGAATATCAATTTTGGCCGGCAAGTACGTGTACGTTTCCAACCATTCACACCTGCGCTTCCAAAGCCGTCAAAATACGTTCGGCCGCTTGCCTGGGAAACTGGGCGCAGAAACCGTGTGGGTTGAGCTATCGAAAAGCAGCCCGACTGGCTTTTATCTGCCGGGCATGACGTTACACGAGAGCGCACCTGGAGTGTATCATGCACACAGGATAAAGCAAGCACGGCCGGCTGCTCCAGAGCTCGCTACCAGCAAAAGAATATGTCGCGTGAAGCACAACACTGGCGAGGGTCATGGGTACCCGGCGAGAAGCGCTTCAAGGCTAACCTGAAGCCATTGTTCGAGCTCTCGACGTCGCGATTCGATAAATTTGGGGTCCTGCAGTGGCAGCGAGCACAGATGACACCAGTACAGGCCCGTCAGCTGCGATGGCTGCGATGGACGGGGCGTATACAAGGCTGCATGCCCTGCCTTGTGGCCGCGCCCTTTGACAAAGAGCCTGAGGATGGGACCAACCTTGTTGTTGACCACTTTTTTGGGAGGGAAGGGCAGAATCATGCTTGGGAGCAGCTCGCGAATCTAGACATCATCCCAGAGAGATGTCAGGGCCGGCGTCAACACCAATACCATACCATGCATGCAATGACCCTGCTGCTGAAACGGCTCAAGGGCCAAATGCCAGATTGGGTTGTGGACACCCACCTCTTTTTGCAGGCTGTACAGCGTGCTATAACGAAGGTCTAGAGTCCAACTGGTGTTTTCATAGCCCAGTTGGACTTCGTAGATCTACACGCACACACACATACCCATTGAAGTTGTTGAGTTATTGGCCCGGATAAGAGCAGTGTAAATGAAAAAACCAAAAAAAAAAAAAAAAAAAAAAAAAAAAAAAACAAGGTCAGGGCGAGGAAGGCAAGGCGGGAGCTGGTAGGGCTCCGTTTTGAGGAGGAAAGCTTAAAAGACCTACATAGGGCCGCTTGCGTCCATCTGCAACTTGACGGCTGCGAGGAACCTGCGAACGCACCACGAGCGTCCCAGCTGGATCCGCCATGGCCCCAGGGGCAGGCGGCGGGCTCCGAGCACCCTGAACCACCACCTTGCAGCCCAGCAAAGCACGTCGACGAGCCTTGCTGCAAAGTAGCCTCACGTCTTCAGCCACTACTCCTCAAGAGGCATCAGTGCATCAAGACTGCTACCCCCGCCCCGGTTCTGTAACGAGGATCACCCCAGCCACAGCAGCCACCTCTTCCCCCTTGCGCCCCCAACAGGCTCACACACAAAGAGTGAATTGGCAGGTCGTTAATGGTTTAAAGTAGAATACTTTGTGTCGGAGAAAAACAAAGTGTGTGTGTGTGTGTGTGTGTGTGTGTGTGTGTGTGTGTGTGTGTGTGTGTGTGTGTGTGTGTGTGTGTGTGTGTGTGTGTGTGTGTGTGTGTGTGTGTGTGTGTGTGTGTGTGTGTGTGTGTGTGTGTGTGTGTGTGTGTGTGTGTGTGTGTGTGTGTGTGTGTGTGTGTGTGTGTGTGTGTGTGTGTGTGTGTGTGTGTGTGTGTGTGTGTGTGTGTGTGTGTGTGTGTGTGTGTGTGTGTGTGGGGGGATTGAGTCAGTGGGTGCGTGCGTGTGTCACCTGCGTGCGAATGTCAACACAAGAAGTTGAATGGGTATGAATTTTGGGGGTCTCCAAGGACAAGTTGCGGGTCACACACACGTCAACAGCAACCAGGCCGCCCGGCGGCTCTGTTCAAGGAGGAGGCGCACGCAAACACACACAAACTGCAGGAGAGGCCCCAGAGGCAGGCCTTCGCCGCTTGCCTTGGCAAAAGATTTACAATGGCACAAACTCAGTTGGGCCCAGTCCGCGTGTTAGCTTGAGCTTCAACTTTTGGTACCTGTGACGCGGTGGGGCATGGCGAAGCGCACTCGAATCAGTGAAAACATGGTCACGGCTCTGTTGAAGCACACTGCAAAGTTGAACACTGTGCCCTTACTTTTCGGAAGAAGGGGAATAGTAGAACCCTTCGATGGCACCCGTTTTGCGGTCAAAGCAAATGTAGTAAAAGCCGGAAAAGGAGGCACCTAGCATTCAGCCAGCAGACTGGTGTCAGCGATGCCCAGATTGTTTTGCGAGGAGAAACAGGGCACAGACACTCAGGTACCCCAGCACCCAGGCACAGAAAGGATGGACCAGAGCATGTCTCACCTTCAATGTATCGCAAGTCGGGATTATCCACTACAAAGTGTTCCTACGCACAGCCGAATTGTGAGCTGACACCCACCCAATTGGTTGGGGCAATCCAGTGCCCAAGGTCAGTCGCCAACAGAGCGGCCAAACAGACCTTCCAGCGCATGAAAATGTAGCGCGAGGTGCGAGGGTCATATGCTTCGGGATTGTCCATGAATTCCATCCCAAATCCTGATAACAGCCGCTGCAAATGTCATGGCAAACGCATTGGACAAATGTGGGTCATGAAAAGAACTGTGTGGTCGGCGGCAGACAGATCTGGGGCGTGGAGCATGGATTGATAGGTGCATGCACTTGAGCAATGGGCAGCCGCATACCCAGTGCATGATATCCACACGCCGCACCGCGTGCCACCTTTCCGTTTGAAATGTGACACCAGGTCGAAGCCCGATGATATCACCTGAGCGGGTCAAGGTTGCGTGAGGGCATAATCTGTTCCACTCGCTCGCCCATCTGATGGGGGGCGTCGAAGACAAAGGCAATTCCATGCTAAATGGCTCGGCTCACCTTGAAAGCAGGTGGTCAGCGCAGGGAGCTGCGGCGTCAGGTCGTAAATGGATAGATCACCATAGCAAATGCCGTGCTCCCAGTCAATGACCTACACAGCCCGAGTGGCAAAAAAAAAACAACACAACGCCAAGACGCATGAGGGCCAATCCAACACGACGAAGCACTTCCCATCTCCAGCGCGAGCTTGGCAGGTTGGAGAGCACAGAGGGGCCACGCACATGAATGACGGCATCCACGAGATAAGTACTGGTGTTGCTGGTTTGACAACCCGAAAAATGGGCGCCAGGGAAAAACGTCAAGGAGTAGAGATCATTTGATCGCTCCTGCTCACTTGAACGTCTGGCGTCCGCGCTGGGCGTCAAGTTGGAGGCGGAAGGAGAGGCAGAGGCTGATGCCGCAGCGGTGGTCATGCCGGGCCCCTCATCATGCTTTCCCTGCCGGGCCATGCCCCTCCCCTGTGCGAGCGCCAACGCGCAATGGTTAGGCCTGCTCAAAAGAGGAGGCACTCGGCTCGCAGCCGACCGCCGAGGAGACTGCTCAAAACAAGACGGACACGAGCCGAGCCGTCCTCGCCTCGGGCACGACGCGAGCCAAAGACGCTGCCAATGCAACACTGTACAGTCGAACCCAATCGGCCAATGTCAGGTCGCTTCCAATGCCTCTCCGAAGCGGATCAACAGGCAGGACGGGTCTCACGAGCAAACGCGCGGTCTCTCGCTGCACGTCGCCGTCATGGAGCTCTTAACCGAATAGTTGCGGACGGAAAGTAAGAAAATGCTGATTACAACCAGACGGTAATGATAGTAAATGCAGAAGATTTTTGGGTTTGTGAAGCCAGTTTGCTGGTTGACGTTCGGGCCTGCTTGATACCCCTTCCTTCCGACTGCCTCCTGGCCTCCATCCCGCAAAAACGGACTGTTCCTTGGATTCCACTGGCCCTGTTCTGCTGTATCTTTGTCGTTCACCCTCGCCCTCTGCCACCGCCACCGCCACCACCATCACCCTTGCCGCCGCCGGAGGATGCCGCCACCGCTTTCTTCTTCTTCATCTTCCTCATCTTCATCTTCTTCAGTTTTTTTAACATTTTCTTCGGCTCAGTATACGTTGTAGACTCTTCATATTCGAATATTTTCTTCATCTTCTTCTCTCTGATACTACATTTTCCTCCCTCTTCCTGCTTGTGGACCATCATCCATCGTTCGTGTGTGGACCGAGTCGGGATCACGGCGCCAGCGGGCGTGTCTAGGGCAGTGGCGGCAGGCAGGGTGGTGCTTGGGACTGTGGGATAGTGCAGGCACCGCTCGTCAAGGTCACGGGGGGGACGGCGCCGGAGAGCAATAGGGACTTGCGGTACCCGTGTGACCACAAACATGGCCTCCTCAACGCGGTCTGCCGAGGCTGAGGCAGCTGATGTGCCAGAGTCAGCGGTATGTAGCCGCACCCCACACTTGCACGCACAGCGCGGCTCCTTGTCAGGCACTGGCAATGTCCTGCCAGACCCTGGCTGCTTACGGGCCCCACTTTCAGTACTCACTCAACCATGCGCCAATGCCCCATGTGACGGCAGGTCACGGCTCAATTTGCCGAGTCCAGCAACATGCTTTACTATCTGGTTGAGTTCCCCAAGGGTGTGGGCGAGCTCCTTGATCGTGCCGGTGCGTTGTTTGAAGGCATCTTGTTGTGTTCCTGCATGCAAGGCTAGGCGCGTGGGGTCGGGGCACCGTCTTGCCGACCTGACAGGGCCTTTAATCTCATCACTTTGTTCTCCTGCAGAAGAGGGCGAAGAGGTGGCTGCGCTGCATTTCGGTACCAAGGAGGGACCTCCCACCGATAAGCGCGGTCGCGGTGCCATTTCTATGGAACAACATGTGCGCAGTTGGGTCGCCATAACCCTTTTCTCCTTGAATCGCCATTGAGCAAGGCATTGATGACCGCTTTCTTTGCTGAGTCTGCTACGCTCATGAGCGTGTGTGTTGACCGGACGAAACCTCAGATTGCCGTGCGCCTTCATCCCGAGTTCTTGGATCAGCAATACCTGCAGGACAAGGTGATCATCCCATCCCTGCTCACCGGCACGTACGACGATCTGACCTCTGACAGCAGCAGTCATGTCGTGTATCAAGAAGAGAAGCCCGACACGCCAACCGCTTCCACGGCTACGGGCGAGGTCACGGTTCTGGGCCATAGTGTTGCCCGTCTCAAAACCCGGGTAAGTGCTGAGCCGGCTGATGAAAACCACCCAAGTTTGATGTTTCAATGCCTCGTTGGCATAATTTATCGCGGAATTTGACTTGCAACGCACTGATTTGCCGTGCCCCCACCCCTTTTTTTTTTCTTTTACCTTCTTCTTCTTGGGCTCTTCTAGTACACGCCACGTGGCAGAGAGTTCGATTGGTACCGCCACAGCATTCGGGATCGTCATGTCGAAACCGATGTCACCCGTGATGGCATGAATTCTGGGTCAGCTTTCAATTGTGTGCTGTTTGATGGACCTGCGTGGTACTCCCCTGAACCAGCATTCTCACAATCAGTCCTGTGTCATGATAGCCGGCCCATGAAGTTGAAGCTCACGGCCAATACACAGCTCGATCGCGCCAAGCGCGCCAAGCTGCAAAATCGCCGTGTGGCCGACAGTGCAGATGCCATTCAGGTCAGCGTTTTTCGAGGCTGCATGACACTGCCCCGTTCATCGTTGTCTTGCCCGATTCTCTCAAGGACACGTTCTCACACACGTCATTGCATGGGTGCTGACACTTTCGTGTCATTTGATACAGCTCCAACTCATTCAGCAGTTTGCGAAATATGAATACTTCACCATTGATGAGCTGCAATCGCTGATCAAACAACCTCGACAGGCTTTGCAGGACGCGCTGCGTGAAATCGGTGACTACGAAACCAGCGGCGAGCACCGCAACAAGTGCGTTCAGAATATTGTCGGCGTCGACGATCAGGCTGCATGGGCCTGTCGTTGCGCGCACTCATTCCGTCTTGTTGCTTTCCTTGTCCCTAGGTGGCATCTCAAGGCTGAATTCCGGTCCTGATGCATGAATGGCCGGATATGACCAGTGTTGAGTTTCCTTTGGATGAATAAATTTAATGATGGAACAAAGCCGTCGGGGTGGCGCAGCCACACACGGAAGGAAACAACTATTCAACAAAAGATAATAAAATAAAAAAAAGCATGGTAAAAAGATACAGGGGCATTCAGGCGCAACATACCACCAGCCAGGAATGTACTGTTCAAGACAAGCACAAGGGTTTGCGGCTCAACTTATTCGTGTTAAAACAAGATGCACGCGAAGCTAAAGGTGGTCTACATCCTTTGAGATGGGCGAGCTCGGACTGTCGCGGACAATCAGAAAGGGGGCTGAGTCCACACCAATAGAAAAGCCGTACAGTCAAAAAACGGAAAAAAAAAAGGTGCGCCCTGACAAGAACTTTGTGACGGCAAGAAAAAAAAAACGCGGTCTTGCCAAAGTAGTGGGTGTTGTCACGGGCGTATCGGGGTGGTGGGGACGCGCTGACGAAGGTACGGTTCGCGTCGAGTGGGACGCAGAGGAACCTCGCGACCATCAGCCTGAACAGAGCTAATGTGGTCAGACTCCCGATGTGGCGGTGACCTATGATGGGTTCGCCCCTCAGCAAGGATGTCGTGGCGGTGGACATTGGCTGCAGATGCTCGACGGTGTCGAAGACGATTGACAACCTGGGTGTGGGTGTCAACCTGAGTGACGTGGGAATGCGAGGTACTACGCACGCGGGTACCTCCCGCATCAAAGCGAGAGTGCGAGCCACGGGCCCCAGGAGGCGAGGCTGATGAGGCAGATGTGGCCAGAGATCCACCAGAGCGCCGGGGCAGGGCTGGGGGCGGTGAGGGTCGATTCAGCCCGCGGCGTCCGATGGCCGGATGCGCAGAGGAGGTTCGATGACGACTGGGCTGGAGGCTAGCACGCGTCAAGTGGTCGCGCAAGGGAGTCACGCCCACCTCGTCATCGGTTGCCTCGGACAAAGGGCTGGGAGAGCTTATCGGGGTTTGATGGGTGGGGCTAGGCGATGCCTCGGCGCGTTCATCGATAAAGTCGCGCATCAAATCAAGAATGGAAATGCCTTCACTGGCATTGATGGGGCCGTCAACAACCCATGGGTGCAAAAGAACTTCTGCGGCTGTAATACGGCGAGCCGTGTCTTTCTCGAGTAGCCGTCCCAGCAGGTCAAGTGCGCGGGCGTCCACCTTCGAGTAGCAGGGCAGGGCAGGATCCCAAGACCAATCCCGCACAACATACAGCTGTTCGTGAAAGTGGTCCCGAGCCGGAAACGGCGTTTGACCCAGGATGCAGCGATGGAGCAAGACACCCAGGCTCCACATCTATTCATGCCAACGAGCACGCCGATGTCAAGAAGGAGCACAAGTCCTGTGCGCGCGTGCGAGGGCGTGTGAAAGCGAGCACGAGGTAGAAATGATATCATTTCAAGCACGTACATCACAAGCACTGCTATAAGTCCCCCGGTCCATGCACACCTCTGGCGCTGTTGGTCGGTGCACGAGTTCGGTGAGAAGCAGCGCATGTGGTCAAAGAGTGGTTAAAGGCATGACGACAAATGATAGGAGGCATCAGCCAAAGCACAATAACTCGGTGTCATACCAGTGTAGCATGGTGTCCCACAAGTGGTCGACATGCGAGCTGTAGGGGAGCGATGGTGCACGCTGAGGCCAAAATCGCCCAACCAAACATGGCATTTTCTCACGTCATAGGGCCTAAGGCAGAAAGAAAAAAAAAAACAATGAGAGGACGAGCGCGTCATGCCCCAAAAGTCAGCCAGGCTCTTGAGAATGAAAACGAAACACAAGAAGTTTGAAAGAAAAAAAAAGAAAAAAAGTGGGGTTGAAGCACGAGGGGTAGAATATGAAGCGTACGGATGTTGGCAAAGAGCTGGGGTGCAGTTTTCATGTCGGCAGCGAAGAAGAATGTTGCTGGGTTTGATGTCACGATGACAAACGCCTACGCACGAGGGGTCGATAGGCGGGTGTGAGGCAATGGCGATCGTGGTTGGTGCAGAGTAGGGTCGCTCCATTCGAGCTGATTGAGCCTGCTGCCCCCACAGGTGATGGCCCAGGAGATACCTCGGCGGTGCAAATCTTGAAGGGCAAGAGCGAGGCAGTGCAAGAGGTGGGCGGCCTCGCGATCCCGGAGACGACTACGATGACGGGTCTCCGTTTTCCGGAGGCGCGCCCGTTGCACATGATGACTGCTTTTCTCCCGTTCCAAAAGCTGTACGAGCAAAGATGCGCATGGCCGGAGGTGAGCCGTTTGCCAAGGCCGGGGCAAATGATAAACATGGGAGGTGGGGCTCGAACCAGCTGTCGTAAATCAACTTGACACCGCTCAGCCTCGACATAGATAAACTCGTCGTCTTCATACACGGCTCGCAACGGGAGAATGCCGTCTATGCCTGATATGGTTCGCCACAAGTGCACTTCTCGAACGGAGAGTGGAGTCTGACGGGGAAAGGCATGTGGCACAGCGTGTGAGTGCCAAGTAGCGTAAAGTGGTAGATGAGCCCAAGGGGCCACGGGAATGAGATTGTCATAATGAGGTCGAACCCGCGTACCTTTGGAAGGGCTTTGATGGCAACAAGGGCGGCGCTGTCCCGGCGTTGTGCACCATAGGTGATGCCAAAGCCACCCTGGCCAATGGCCTCGTGCTGGATGTACAGAACATCGAGAACCCGATCTGGGGCATGGAGGCGGAGATCGACGCGCAGGGTCGAGGAGGAGCGGCGCCGTGCTTTTGAGGTAGATGGTTCAGGCGAAGCTGCAGACATGATTCTGGTAATGTCTAGAGTCTGGACCGAACAAGGGCGTGGGTGGTGGCACGATGCGTGTCAAGACGCATGGAGGCTAAACTTTGAGGTTATGAGGCCACGCCATGGCGCGGTCAGAGATCTTGAAGAGCCTTGCGGCCGGAGCTGGGCGCGATGCAGGCAAGCAAAGCACTTGCAGTATGCATCATCAACTCCTGCCTTGAAAGGACGATCGCGGGCCCGGCGCATGCGACAAGCGAGTGTCCAAAGTGTCGTTACCAAGCACGTTTGCATTCCAAGTTGGGGGAAACAAGAGGATCAGAGCCGTTGAGAAGAAGAAGAGGTGTCCTAACAGGTTGGGCCGAGGTGGGGGGGGGAGGGGGGAATGAAATGTGGCATGATGCATACCGGATGCGACGAAGATGCGTGCGAAAGAACGACAAGTGCGCGCCAAAGGAGGGGAATGGTGGTGAGGCAGACGGGACAGCCGTCGCGAAGGCCTCTGCCCCCAACCCTTTCAGACGGACCCGACCCGGAATTTAAACCTGTCCACGTACCCCCCGCACACAAATCAAAGCCCAACCCGCCTTTATCCCAGGTCACTCCTACTGCCTGCCTTCCAAATGGCACGCAAACACCCGTGAAACGGCAGTGGCCCACCAGCCCCCGCTGCCACTGGAGGTCCAAGGCCCTAAAAAAAAAAAAAAAAAAAAAGCTCAAAAGGCATCACTCAGCATTTTCATATCTGTTGCTATTGATGTTACTATGTACTGCTGTTGCTGTTCATGTTACTGTTGCTGTTTGTTGTCGTCAAACACACACACACACACACACACATACACACACAACAAGCATAATGTCAGATTGTTTTGTCAGATGAAATTTTGTTGTTGTTGTTGTTGTTGTGTCACTGGATTCGTTGTGGCTCTGTGGCTGTGTGTGTCTCTCTCTCTCTCTCTCTCTCTCTCTCTCTCTCTCTCTCTCTCTCTCTCTCTCTCTCTCTCTCTCTCTCTCTCTCTCTCTCTCTCTCTCTCTCTCTCTCTCTCCGACGATGGCAGCAGCAGCAGCAGCAGCCATGCCGACGACCACGACGGGGACGACCGAGGCCAGGCTGTCGCAGCGGCTTAAGGAGTGTACGCTGCGAAAGTTGGAACAGTTTCATGCGCTTCGGGGGGGTCAACTTGACTTGTACGTGGTCGGGCCGATGATCCTCGACTGGCACGGCTTCCGATCTCAGCCTCAATCCGATCTCGGCGGTCGTGCTCTAGGCCCTACTGGGATGTAGTGGTGCTCACAGCGACCGACGAGAATCAGGCCCAGAGCTATCGCCAGCAACTTGCACACAAGCTAGCTCGAGCGGAGCTGCCTCCCGCCCAGTAGGTGCTTGCGCCCTGTCGAGTATTTTGCCTGCATCGTCACGCCTTGATCTCCACCATCGCCTGCTTTGATAGATACCTGGTGTACGCAGATCCGCCTGGGCCAAAAATCGGCAACGGCGGCGCGACCCTCCATGCCCTACACTGCCTTGAACAACAATTGGGTGCTGCCAATACCGACAAGTGTTGGTCTTCCCCGTAGCCAGCCGCCATCCGTCCCATGCCGTGACCCGCGCGCCCTTCTATTCATAGCTACTTACTGCCCCCTCGATGCGCTCTCAGATAAGATCCTGCTCATCCATGCGGGTGGCTTTTCCAAACGGCTTCCCAACGTCAGCGTCATTGGCAAGATCTTCACAGCTCTTCCCTTTGGTAACAGCCCACTCGCGCCCCCACTGCTCGCCTCTGGGCCTCCCAGACCCACAACCCAGATTTGCCCCAGAATTTGCAAACATCCCCCTCTAAACCTCCATCTTTCTCTTTGTGATGGCGCTGCTGCATCGCCTCGTTTTTGATCAACATGTCTAGGAAACCCCGTCTTCACCATGCTTGAAGCCAAGTTGGCCATGTATATCGACTTTCCCACGCGCATGCGACCCGGCGTGCGTGCCAGCAACCCTGCCTAGGTCACGCTCTGCTAAACCGTGGCATCTCGCTAGCCTGATCCACCCCACCGGCTTTTTGTAGGTGTTTGTGGCATGTGCCGATGACATTGAGCTCTTTGATGCCTCTGGCGATCTTCACTTTGAGGCCCCAGGCTTCACTGCCCTAGGCCATCCTTCCTCCATTGAAATTGGTGCGTGGCCTCAGCCACGGTGGCTGTACTGAGAAAAGGGTCAGGTTAGGGTTAGAGTTAGGGTTAGATTTAGGGTTTAGGCAAGCTCCTGTCCTCACCCAAAGACAACCACTGCCTCAGGAACTACGCACGGTGTCTTTGTCTTGACGGCCGCCGAGGCTGCGGCTGCGGCCCAGCGCCTACATCCAGATCACGGCTTGGCAGTATGTTCAGCCGTTGGCTATACCTTGCCCCATCAGCTCTGCCGCCTATCCTGACATCCCCCGATAGTCCCCTGCCTGTCGCACCGTCCCCTGCCAGCAGTTTCTTCACAAGCCAAGCGCTGCTCGTATGCACGAAGCTGCTGCCGTGCTCGGCCCGACTCAGCTCGTGTACACAGACTCAGCCTACTACTTTGATAGGTATGATGACACGACCGGCCTTTTCTCCCATCCCCTGCGACTCAAACATTGTTTGAGTTCGGCTCATTGCATCCCTTCCTCACCCTAAAATGTCAGAGCAACGGCACTGAGCCTGTTGCAGCTCTACGAGGACCTGCGGCCCATCACATGCGAAATTGACGCGTATGGTGATTTTCTCCAAGCCTTGGGCCTCCAGGCGAATGACGATGTATGTCAGCTCGAATGATTTTAGAGCCCACATCTTGAGATCTTGATCATGAGGCCGTGCCGTGCTCAATCACATCTGCCTGTCAGTACATTACCAACACGGCCAATGTCATTCAGGTGGAACCTACGCTCGAGCTTGCCCGCCGAACCGTCTACCGCCACCTCGGGGGCAGCAACCTCAACGTTGTGCTCTGTGATGCGGTTCGTCTTTGCGTCGCGCCGTGGCCCAGTGCTTGTTTTCCCATTGGTTGGCCACTTTTTTTTTTTTTTTCGTTTTGTTCTTTTGTGCAAACTGCACAAGCAGCAAGCCGTCGTGGCGTGTTTGTTTGAAGATGGATTTTGATCCCTAGAGCAAATTCTATCACATTGGCACACTGCAAGAATACCAGTTTCACTTTTGCCGGGACCCGTATTTTCGGTGCGCTTTACGGCGCCACTTTCTTTGGAATTCAAACCGGCCGCTCTCACTGTAGCTCAAACGCATTTACGCAGGTCAGAGCTGGACTGTATTCGCCACCGCCCACATCAAGTACCGGTCCGTCTCGTTGTTAAGCGTCCTTTGTGCGGGTGTTCTCACATGGTAAAACAGAGACCAGAGAGGAGGAGGAACAGGCGAGGTTTGACAGCGCAAAGTAGCACCAGGGATCATGGTGCAGATCAAGAGGGGGAAGATAAGCGCGTGGTGCATGTTGTGCGATGCTTATTTCGTGGACCAACGTCGTCGTTGCTTCCGTAGGCGAACAAGGACGATGCCGAGTATTGCGTGATTGAGAGTCAATTGGCTTCCGACGTCACCATCGGGACCAACACCATTGTCGAATTTTGCCAAATTGGCACCAGCGTGCAAGTCGGGTCCGACAGCGTCATCAGCAACTGTGTCATTGCGGTGCGCCACCCGGCTTTGTTTTTGGTGTTTTACATCAAGAAGCGTTGCCCCTGGTGTCTCAGAGAAGGGCTCCCTTCCCTCCCTCCTCATATCGACGTGTTTTGCTGTGGTTGAGGGCAGGCCCAGACACAAACGCCCAGTCGCATTTTCTTGCATGTTGTGGCGCTGATTGACAACCGCTATGCCGCCTGTATCTTTGGTAAGGCCATGACAAGATTGGCAACGCCCAAACCGCACGGCCTGTGCATCGTGACAAGCAATGCGGGTCCCATGGATAACTGATGCCATAGGGAGTACGGATGACGTCAAGCAAACCGCTCCAGTTGCAGAAGCAGCGTCTCGTCTGCATTACTGTGGTGTGTCCATGGCCGTGGCCTTGGAGCGACTGGCTCGCCCTGCTGCGATGATTTGGCCCAAACAGGTACTGTGTCGACGGCCTGTCTGTCCTTCCGCCTCTTCACCTTGTGACACACACAATACAGTGATCTGCGTGCTTCATCATCCTTACTGAGATGCCTAAATCATCAACCGACCTGCCTCGTACCTGCCTCGCACCCATGTAGTCCAAGGCAAGTTTGTGGAACGCCAAATTGTTTCCCGTGACAGCCTCGGCTTCAGCGGCCGTGGCTGCTGCACTTGCCCAGGTGAATGTCGTCCGTGGCATAAAAGGTAGGTTGCTAACTGGCAGCCCAGCCGTCCTTTTTAGATCGACCTGGTGGATGGCTTACCTGGTTTGGTGCTCTCAGATGCGTGCCCCAGTGAGGCGGTGCTTGAATGGGTCAACTTTGGAGATATCTTGGCTCGCAAGGACCTTGCTGCCGTTTTAACACACCGAGCAGCAGCTGCAACAACAGTGCTGGACTGACTTGAGGCATGATATGATCAGGTCGTCAATCGACTCGCAGAGCGATGGTCGGCACGAGGTGCATGCCAACCCCAAAGGACTCGCCTCCCTCAGATCCGCTCCAAAGCAGAAAGGAGAGAAATCAAAAAGAAACATGCGCACCACCAAAAAAAAAGAAAATAAGGAAAGAAAGATACAGTAGCCGCAAGGCACAAAGCTTTATGACGCATGATTATGCACAAAAGAGGAAAAGTACCCGAAACGTGGCATGCAGCCAGGCCCCCTGGGCACCCGTGCTTTAGTTGCATCGGAACAAACGCAAAGACGATGTGGTCCCGCGCTCTTACACGGGCAGAACAGCTGTGGACTACTCAAATGAGACGGCTTGACAGTCGAGAAAAGTGCAGCGCTCCGGGCAGTAGGGACACTTGATCATTGCACGAATACGACACATGCTCTTGATGGAGTCTTGACAGAGGACATGACCGCAGGACAAGCGCATAGGCGGGTTCTCCTCTGAAGAACTGACTCTGTACAAGAAAAAAGGCAAGCGTAAGAGCGGAGGGAGTAGGCAGCATGTGCACGAGCGAGCACCAGGAGTTTGAAAACATGAAAGACTGGGCCGACGCACTTGGCAACTGGACACACAAATACTGAGTGGGCCGAGACATCCTGACCCACGTCGAGACCAATGGGCATCTCTGGGAGATCAGACCAGGCGCCGGTATCTTGATTGCTGGCGGCCATGAGCGTTTGCCACTTGGATACGCGGGGCAACAGGCTCGCACCCGTGCTACATCTAACAGCCATACACCAAGGTGGAACGGTGAGGGCATGCAAACAACAGATTGCGTCTCAAGTGAGCAACCCAATCAGATAAGATGGTGACGTACGCGGCACGCAAATGGCTTTGGGCAGGCAGCCCGGCATGTTTGCGGCTGAGGCCGGTGAGACGTTGTTGAAGACTATCCCTGTAGCATATGGGATCGGAGCGGAGACGAGTCAGCGCGAAAGGGAAGTACTGTGCAGGCATACGCATGGCAGAGGCTGGTTCGCACAGGGTCGTGTCGGGTTCATCAGCTGGCATGTTGAAGACGATGGCGTTCATGCAGCGACTCAGGCCTAGCAGAACGGTCGGGAAGGCCCCATGTGTGCGGTGAGGTGGATGGGTGCAGGCTTCAACCTTGGCTCAGCAGTTGTCAGGTGCACCCGGGAGAGGAGACCAACGTTCGACTTGATCGGAGGTGAGAGAGCCGGATAGAATGGTGGGCATGGAATGTTGTGCGTGGTCGACGACGGAATATGGAGAAGGCTTTGGGGCCGAAGTACATGAATGAGAAGTCGAGAGACGATGAAAGGAGCGAGATGGCAACGAAGGATCACATGGAGAAGAGGTGAATGTAAAATGTCAAGGAGTACCGTTTGGGCAGCAAAACTGGCAAGTTGAAAGAGATACAGGTCAAAGAGAAGGGCTTGGGCGTCGTGCTGGAGGATGGGCTCTGAGTCGTTTTGGCAGAGGTTGGCGAGCCATCTAGCGGGAATTGATTGGTGAGCGGTGATTTTGCTGTTTCGAGGGCTCGGATTTGATCGCAAGGGAAAGAAGCGTTTGGACTAGGCGGGTGCATGTGTGGCTCACTCGGCGACGGGAGTAAATTGATTGGTGGCCAGAGCATCACGCAGCCGCCAAACTTCACGGCAGGCCTCATTTTGGGGCGGCAGGGCATGGGCCAATTCCTGCGCGGCTCGACGATTCGGATCCGTGAGCACAGCACGCGCGTGAGGAGCCACGTGAATGGAAAAAAACTCGGCCGACGTTGGTGGAGGGGTACCAACCTCCTGGACGAGGTGAGCCAGGCCATCCTCAGCCATTTGGGCGACAACGGCGCGAGTGAGGTCATCGCGTTCTTTCTGTATCGGGTCATCGTGTATAAGAGTGGCGCATGAGAGGGAGTTGCACAAGGAAGGCACAGCAAAATTCGACGCTGTGTTTGCTTGTGTTTTTTTTTACCAAGTCCAGTGCAGGCGGCAGGGCAGCTGGGGGTGGAGGGAATGTCTGGCGCCAGTTATTTGCATTATTTACGTGCGGGTATTCTGAGATGAGTCGTACGCCCGCCGCCAGCCCAAAAGCAAACCAGCAGCGAAACAGGGAGGCTCAAAGGGTTCAAACCTCGTCGATGAGCTGGGAGACCTTGGCAGTGTTTTTGAGCACGGACCGGGCTTGTCTGGGTGTCAAAGGACGTGTGGCCGTGAGAAGTGAGAGAGGGCTCCCACTTTGCCAGTCGAGTGAATCTTGACCTACTTTTGAAGGGCCAGGCAGGCGGCAGCCAGTTCTGTGTTGTTGTTATTGTTGATGAGATTGCTGAGATCCTGAGCCTGCTGCATGAGCCGATCACAGTTGACGGCATCCAGGGCGGCCAGCACCTTTTCCGGGCCTGCCGCCATGTTTGTCCTTATGTTGGAGGCCTTTTCGCGTATGGTCAAGCCACGCGGCTTTCCCCACCAGTGTTTACTCAAAGCAAAGAAGCATCTATGAGCAGCGCCAGGCCCTGCACTTGCAAATACACCACACATCAACCCGACCCGCAGCCCGGGGACGTGAGGCACGGGTTGATCAAGAGAGAGAGAGAGAGAGAGAGAGAGAGAGAGAGAGAGAGAGAGAGAGAGAGAGAGAGAGAGAGCGTGTGTGTGAGAGAGAGAGAGAGAGAGCGAGAGCGAGAGCGTCGCTGGCGCTGTCGGCGATGAGAGAGAGCTGTTGACGCGGTCTTTGTGTGTTGATATGTTTGTAAAGTAAATTACTTTTCTTTGCTAACCCTCTTGATATGGCCACTACAGCTGTTGTCAACATTCTAAAAGTGATTAAATTTTAACCATGGCTGAGCCCTTCACGCATGTGTGGGACAACTTACTCTTCGATTTCGACCCCATCACACCTCACCAACGTGGGGTTGTCAATGATGTTGCACCGCCCAACCCTACCTCTGACGAAAACCCACTGACGTCACGTTCCTGACAGAGAGGACCTGCACAATTCGTCCGCCTTGCGCTACTCACCTCCGACTCTCTCTCTGTCCCCTCAACCCAAGCCACATGTCCGTACCCACAGCTCACAACTTTGTGGCCTTTATCCGCCCCATACAAGAACCCATCAAACGTCACCCCAACCTCGTCCTTACCCTATCCACACACACAACCAGACTTTTGTGTTTGATGCAAGTTCGCCTGACCCCTTGACCCTCTGAAATTTCTCCCCCACTCACTCACTCTCTCTCAAATCCCTCTCCTTACCCCTTTGCATCTTCGCACGGTTTGCTCCCATCCTCTCTGATCCTCTCCCGATTTCCCTCCCCCTGCCTCTATCTCTGAGTTGGGGCCAGGAGAGGACGTTCGGCACTTTGACGACGGAGGTCCCTTGCCCTCTCTCTCCTCCCCCCCCCCTCCTCCTTTGGGTTTCACGCCACGTTTTTTTTTTGCGCTGCCTTGCCCTGCGCCCGGTTGACCCTTTGGCCCCCTCACGTATCTACTCTGCCAAAAGGACGCTTGACCCCCTGGGTGCATTAGATTGCACATCGCTCTTTGACACAAAGCCGGCCCCTCGGCCGCTGCCTGCTGCATCCACCACACACACACAGACCGAGTACTTGCGGGTTGCAACAGGGCAACCTTGGTCGTGGACTCGACCCTGCCTCCGCTGGCTTTCACCCCTTTCACTCCTTGGCCCCGTCCTTCGGGGCCTTTAGCTTGAGCCACCACTCAACACACCGACAATCATTCAAGAGAGCGAGCCGCCATCAGATTGGGCAGCGGCGACACGCCAGGGCTTGCTTGCTTCTTCTCAATCACCGCCGGCAATGGCAGCCGCGGTGTCGCAGTCGGGCTCGTCCCCCTCGACCCGCTCGACTCGACGGTCGGCCATTCGCCCCTTCCTTCCTACCACAAGCACCACTCGCCCTCCCCATCGCCTTCCTTTTGGTCCCCTGGCCCTTGTCCTCGTCCTTGCCCTCGCAACGACCACAGCCCGGGCCTCAGAGTATGAGCCCTGCAACGACCATAACGACCTCCACTGCGAGGCGGGTGCCTTTTGCAGCCATAATCATGGTTTCCCCGTGTGCCTCTGCCCCCCGGGCCGACGCGGCACAAGATGTGAATTTGTCACGGAATGCGCCAATGCCGACGTTGAAACCCCGGCCTGTGCTTCCAATGCCGTTTGTGTTACGACTGCAAATGCGAACGACGTTTGCCGGTGTGCAACGGGCTGGGCCGGGCCGGCCTGTGACCAACTTGTCGCTCAGCCTGGCCACTACTATTGTCCCTGGGCTTTGGCCGTCCTGCCCTGCCCAATCGGTGAGTCCCAAACCGCTCCCTGACCACACGCCTGCTTTTGCTTTTGCCTTTTTTTTGCTTTTTTTTCCCTTTCCTTCTTCTTCCTCTTCCAAAGTAGCCTCTGCTTGCGTCTGCCTGCCTCATTCCGTGTACTTTTACTTTGTTCGGCGGGCCACACCAGGCACTTTTCAAAACTCTTCCAACACAGTGGAGTGCACCCGAGTTGCTGCACAACATTATCCTGCCGATACGAACGGTACGTGTCCGCTCGGTTGTCTTTTCCCTTTTTTTTCCGTTTTCCTTGAACTCTTGTATGGAGACACTTTGCGTCCTGGACCGCCCTCTCATTGCCCTCGACGTGCTTCATTTTTAGGAAAATACACGTCCTCGGGGGCTGTCCAACAAGTGGCCTGCCCCAGCTACCACGCTTGTGAAGCCCCCTCTTGGCGACCAGTATATCTTTTCCTGTAAGTCTGGCCGGCTTTTTTTTTTGCGTGATGTCGCCTGCAGTTCGCCGCAAACCCCTTACTCACGCATGGGAGCAGGCATGCGGATGCGACTTCAGACAATGCCACCACAACCAGCACCTGCCCTCCAGGCCAGCAAAGAGCGTCCTCGGGCACCTGCACCGCTTGCCCAGCTGATCAGTTTCGCAACCCGGCGATGGCAACCTGTCGTGGTGTTCCCCCAAACTTCTATGGTTCGTCGGTTTCGTTGACTGAGTGGACTTGCGGCCCTCTTAGAAAAACCTCACCACGTGTCGCGGCCCTTCATAGGTATCAATGCTTCCACGACGACTGGTTTTACCAACATCATCCCTTGCCCCCTCCACCACAAGTGTGCGGGCGGAAACGCTCAACCCATACCTTGCTCCTCCACGGACAAGTGTAACAAGTGCACTGTTGACAGCATCTTAGTGGACGGCGCTTGTCAGCAATGTTCGCGCACAACCTGGCCCGACGAAGCACAAACGACGTGCATTACTGTACGTTCCTGCTGGCCGTGAAATCGATTGCCACCACAACCTTCCATCGCACTCTTACACCCACTTCCACTCATCTGGGTTCTTGCCACCCAGATGGTGACGAGGTGGCCCACGCGCATATTTAGCAAGGTTCCAGTTTTTGAACCTTCCGACGACGTTGGGCCCACCTTCAGCCGAAGCCTCTCCGGCCGATGTATGTGATGATCGCGCCGCATCGTCCTCTTGCCCCATCTTGTTTACTCGTAACACAAGATTGCACCCACTTTTGCCCCACCTTAGTGGTCTTGGAGCCGCAGGGCGACGCCGTACCGATTAATCGCTATTGGACTCCGGCGCTGGTTGTCTGTGCCGTCTTCCCGGGGACACCATACGAGCGCATTTTCTCGTCCATCGTCTACTTGGGCTTATTTTATCAATTTTTTTCCAACCACGAAGATTCCTTGGAGGATGCTCACGGTCACTTGCTTAAAACCAATGATGGACGAGTGTATGTCATGGACACGCAGGTCCTTGGCAATTCCAACACGCATCTGCTTCAGCCGGTGACGAACCTCCTGACCTACGGCTTCACCATCTCCTCCCTCATGCCCATCCGCTTCAACTTGAGCCTCCCGTTTCAGTTTTTGGTGGACCAGACCTACTGCCTTGGAGTCGACTCGGACCTTGGTTCTTCCTTCAAGTTGAATATGACGATCAACATGTTCTGGCTCAGTCAACCACGCCAGGTGGACTCGGTTTTTATCGGTGCCTCGGAGGTGACTTCGCGTATGTCTGGCGTCCTTCAGTTTACGACCGATCCGGTGTGTATCCACTTTACCGCTTCCACCAACAGCAGTGCAACGTCTTGGCCAACCGAAGCATTCAAGTACATGGTCGCCGAGCTTGTGCTATCAACAAACAATGTCGAAAACATCATGTCTTTCTTTGTTCAGACTGCTGGCAGTCTGTGGTATCCCGTCCTGGGCAGTTTGGCATATTTCGCTATCGATGAGCCTGTGCCCGAAGGCGCCGAGTTATTTGTGGAAGCTGATGAGACGATTCCCGTTTTCCTCAATTGCCCTGGTGAAGTCGTCATTTACGATTCCCCCGAGCTTCCTACGGTTCTCGTCACATGGGACGAGCTTGTGGCTGTGGATGAGTGGGGCTACGCTGAAGTTGGCCCACCTTCATCACCCCAGGGCAACTATACGTGGGAAACAGCGCCCACGGAAATCACTGTATTTGCTATGGAGCACTCGGGTGAAGCAAGCGCTTGCACATTTCCGATTCGCTACGTTCGTGACTATGTCGTGGAACATGATGTGGCATCTTATCGAGAGCTTTTTATTCCATGGGGCATCATGCCCATGAGCTTGCTGCCTCATCACCGAGCCATCACCTTTCGATTGATTGATCAGACGATGCCGGGGCCCTTCATCTCCAAGACTCTTCCATTACCCGTGCATATCGTCCGCTGGGCTTACCGAATGTCTACCGACACTTTGATGCAGCTAATTGGCTCACCTCAGGACGCTGTTTTGTCGGTACATGTCGTCTTGGATCTGGTCCCGGCGATGGAGGCCGAAGCCAGCACGTCGTCCCCGACCGTTGCGCTATTTAATACGACCGGCAGCACCATGAACACGACGACTCCAAATTCTTCCACCCCGATGACCACAGCAGACCCGACAACCACCCCGACTACCACCCCGACTACCACCCCGACTATACCGACAACAATGAATGCGGGTGCACCAAACACCACCAACAATTTCAAGGGCTTTTCCACTACCTATGTGGCTGACGGCGCTTTCTTGCGCGTTCGCATTGTCGACGGCCTCAAAGTGGCAACAGGGAAGCCTTGTCCTGTAGTTATGGCAAACTTCGAGGCGCTCTATGAGATGCCACTCATCATGGACAATCTTCTGTTGATGGTCGGGCGCATCAATTTGAACCAACTTGACGTGACGTGCGCATACAATGGCATCGTGTTTGAGCTTGTGATGCCGACTGGCCTGACTCCATCTGAGCCGGTTGGAGATTACGTCCGGCTACATGTTCGCCAGTTGGCCATCAACATCTCTGGCGTCTATCACGACAAAGCACCGTTGAGTATTTTTCAGGCCATTCCAGCAGATCGCATTCCCCCAACTATATCCTGCCCTGATACCTTGATTGCTGAGTCAGAAGACCAAGTTGACGGCCTGATTCAATCAGTGGTGAGCCAGATTAATGCTACTGCCTCGGAGCCCCTGAGCGACATTTCATGGGCATGGATCGAAGGCAATGTTCAGTTTACCGCCCGTGACATGGCGCTGCATGCCACAACATGCAATGTTGCCATTTCGTGGCCGTCGATTCTGCCCGCTACGACAACAAGTGAGCCCAAAGTTGCTCAGAGCTCCTCTAGTACTTATGGTGCGAGTGTGGCCGCGGGTGTCGCCACTTCAGTGGCCTTTGTATTGATTATCGCCGTCATCATCTGGATGGTGTTGGCGCGCCGAAGGGCGCAAAAACAGATTGACTTTGGCCCGCGGTTGAGGGAACTTGAAAAAATTCTCAACATATCCGACTCTGACAAGATGCTCACCCCTCGAGAGCTTCGTGGCGTCACCTGCATCGAGTCGATTGGCAAAGGCAATTGGGGCACGGTGTTTAAAGGCCTCTTGGAGGAAGACCTACCTCTGGGACTTTCGCGGTTCCTCGTCGCGGTCAAAGCTATGACCAATGCATCTCCCAGTCAGCTTGACGAATTTACACGCGAGGCAGCCTTTATGGCTCAGTTGCAACACGAACACATTGTGCGGCTCTACGGCGTGGTCACAACCTCGACGCCCCACTACTTGGTCATGGAGTATTGCGAGCACGGCTCTTTGCAAAATTACTTGCGTGCGCGTGGCGAGCTTATCGATCTTAGCCATCGCATTAGATTCGCAGTGGACGTCGCCAAGGCTTTGGAGTACTTGGCCTTTCGTGGCATCTGTCACAACGACATTGCAAGCCGAAACGTGCTTCTCAACAGGTACGACGCCTCAAACGGCGCGTTGATCTGCTTGCTTTGAGATTTGATCTTCTTGTTCTTCCTCATTGTTGCCTTTGGGTTATTTCACCCCAACACAGCCTATATCAAGCCAAGCTGGGCGATTTTGGCCTGAGTCGACAGGTGGGCGGTGTCAACGCCGACTACATTGGGAAAGATCAAGTTTTCCCTGTCCGGTGAGTCTGGCATTTCTCTTGTTTGTGCCTGGCTCTATAGACCTTGAGCGCTTGGTACAGCTGGCTGGGTTTTGCGCGTATTTTCCTCCTTCTATTCCACTCTAACTTCAGTTCAAATCTTGAATCACAGGTGGAGCGCCCCGGAGCTGCTTCGAGACCACATTCTCTCTCACGCATCGGACATGTGGAGTTGGGCCGTTTTTGTTTACGGTGTGTGCTCGTGCTTTCCACGCCCCCTTGGATGGCTGAGATGTGGTGGCCGATTAGGTTGCGCATAGCAGAGAACGTGGTCGATTTCTTGTCTCAGCTCGACTTGCAACCTGCTGTGGTCTGACACTCTTCAGAAATCTTTACCAACGCTGAAGTTCCCTATGCCGACATGCCCAATCAGCTGGTGTGGCACAGTGTGCTCAATGGGCATCGATTGACGCGGCCGGAGATTTGTCCTGGTATGAATGTGTCGCTTGATTCTCCACTTGCGTCTCGGCGCGGAAGAGCACAATTGTGATGCTGTCCTCAAATCCGTCTCCTGCCATCAATTCTGCAGAACCAGCCTTTGCTGTTATGGCGCAGTGCTGGAGTGAAGACCCCAGCGAGCGACCCCGGGCGACTGTAGTTGTGGACCAGTTGACGGAGATGTTGCAACTCCTGCCCGGCGGCGCGAGCTTGCTGTCCGTGGACCAAGCGTTTTCCAGCCGAACAGCCTCGCCTGTGATGAGCAAAAACGGCACCATCGTGGTGCCTCCGCACGTCAGGGTCGACGCGGGTGCGGATGGTGAGGATGCAGCGACACCTGGCAATATGCCCTCCCGCATTGCGAGCGTTGCTAGCCTCAAGCTTTTGCACGCTGGAGACCAGGTGGAGAGCAACGGCTCTGGTGCATCCTCCAATTTTTATGCGCCATCACCTCGGACCACTCTACACCCTGCCACGGTCATCATCTCGTCATCCACGGACAGCGCTGGCACCTCGGAGGTGGCAATGCCGCTCATGACCTCGGTGGAATCAACTGTGCTCTCTGGCCAGTCGGGCCCAACCGCCACAACGCTATCCACCATCGAGGACACGTGCCAAACAATGACTTCTCCGACTGCTATACTTCGCGCAAAGTCTTCTACGACTCGACTCTCGCCGTCGATCGGAACGACGCGGTCAGGACGAGGCAGCCCGTCTCAGCGCCACCTCATTCTAGGCCAACTCGCAAGCGTCAGCAGCCACGTCTAAGTAATTCGCGCTACAGATTCGGCCCTTCGTTGAATCCTTTTTCCCGCGACCCAGTCTTACATGTAAAGCAGGGCCTCCTCTACGCCTTTCAACTTGTTCATATTATAACCGAGGGAGAGCCCTTCACTAGACGATCGCTTCAGTCAGGCGCGCTCGCTGTCGGCATCGGCCAAGCTTGTTTGGGAGTTACCCTCTGCTGCTCGTCTTGATCACTGTCTGGTTGTTTTTGGTTTTTGTTTTTGTTTTTTTAATCGCTTCCTCTCCAAAGCCTCTGCGGCCTCTGGTACCGTGTACCAGCTAATGAATTGACCTTCAACGCCCCCCCTCCCCCATCGCCGGTTCATTCATTCGCGCCGACAATGCCATGATCTTGATTGACTCAGCGGAGGGAAGAATCACGTTCGGTGCGCCGTCAAGAGGCGGGGGAGGGACGAGAGGAGTGCGTGCTCGGGTTGAATGCATCGCCTCTTCTTCGCGAAACTACGATGGGGTGTGTCGTCAGGACGCCAGCTGCACTTGGAACTGGTCAAGCAAGAGCCTTCTTCGTGATCCCAACAAGGGACCGAGGTCGAGTGTATGTCGTGTCCGCTCAACCTTGATGAGTTGCATTCAGGCGGAGGTTCTTGTCCTAACGCTCCAAACTCCTATGTCCGCTGTTGACATGCCACACTGCCCGCTGAGACGGGTGACACATGCATGGGCCCCTTTGGAAGCTACACCCGACGCAGCGCCAGCAAGCCACCGCGCAGTAGCGCGGTCACAATTCTGTCAAGGCCTGACTGGCGCATGGTGATTACACACGACGAAGCATTCCTTATCATGGCAAAGACACGGCGGCTCGGCTCACATCAGCATTCGAGCAGGTGTGCGCAAGACGCAAAACGCCGAGCAAATAAGGTCGCAGAGGAGTTGCACGCACATGCCGTCCAAAAAGTGCATGCGGTGCTACACACGGCCCACGCTCACGCGAACTCGAGCCTTGCTCGCGTTGCCTGTTGTCCAAGGCCGTGTCGTCGTTTTGGTGGGCTGGTGGTGGCTGACGCCCCATTTTCTGCCGAGCCAGTGTCAAACGCCATCCACCCCCCTTGCCCCACCCGCACATACACATCCCCGAATGAAGAGCGCGTTGGGCACTCGACACTAAAATCGGCCCTGCCCATTCATTCGAAAGCCTTTTGCTGCAGCTTGAGTCAAACCGCCGCTGCCTGGCTCAAGACTGAGCGGCAGGCGAACCATCTGCGACACACACCTTCACATTTGCCGTCTCTGCGCATACATGAACAGCGGGGGCGCATCACTCATCGACACATCGCCTCTATGCGACGCCCGACCGCTACGGCGGGCTTCCTGCTGAGTCTAGCCCTAGCCGTGTCGCTTGTCCTGCCTGCCCGGGCTCGCCTGGACTGCCGGACAGACCCTTGTTTGAACGAGGGCATCTGCCTTCTCCAGGGCGCGCTCTTCTCGGAATGCGCCTGCCAATCCGGCTACACAGGTCAACGATGCGAGACACGAGTTCGCGCCTGCGCCTCGGATAGCGAGTGCGGTCACGGTGAATGTGAGGATGACGAAGGCGAGTGTGAGTGCGACGATGGCTGGTCTGGCACGTTCTGTGACATCAAGTACTCCTCTCCCGGCTACTACTATGACCCAGATCAGCCTGCAGTTCTTCCTTGCCCTACCGGTATGTGCCACCGCGCTTCTGTGCTCTGTTCCTCGTATAGGCCTGCCAAGCGGTAGTCTAGCTGCGCGTCACACACACCCGACTGCTCCGGTCGACTTTTGTCGCATAGGCTACTACTCGTACGAGTACTACAACACCATCTGCTTCCCCGTGCCCTTTGGTTACTACCCCAGCAACCATCGAGGCGAACACACAACCTCAGCAGCCATTTACGCCCTCCGCTGTGCCAAAGACAGAGAGTGCCTGCCGGATACCTTCTCGCCCACTTCATGCTCAGGGTGCGTAATCTCTGATTCGATGCTCTTTGCCTACTACAAAGGCGAGGAAGCTGGTCTCAATCTGAGTTTTACCTTTCACTGAATCGACGTTCCTCGCATTCGGGCTGTGCAGGCGTTACAAATCCAAGGATTATGCTGGCATATGCACGGACAAACATTACTGCCCACCCGGCTTCTTTGGCGACAAGGAGTGCGAACCGTGTGATGCCGGTGAGAGCGTGGCCTTTGGCTACCACTACGTTCTTCCTGTATCTGTGGCGCCGCTGGTTCTCGCCATTGCTCACTGGCCAGAACGTCGCCCACAGGCACGTACAATCCCAACTACGGCGAAACCAGGAGCCGGGCCTGCCTTGACATCCCGCCTGGCAAATTCGGTCCGTTTGAGCACCGAGCTGCCCTCCCAGCATGCGTCGTAGAGCGCTTTCTCATGCGCTCTTTGGCACTGTGTCAGGCATTTTCTCCCTACCGGATCTCGACCTAGCCGACTTTGAAGTGACCGTGGCCGGCATGACGGGGCCCGCGCCAGTCACGCACCGTGGCGCGACGGACATTCGTGACTGCTGGATTGGCTATTATTGCCAAGGTCGGTCTCTGTTGCAAACGACACAAAGAGGCGAAAAGCGAGTGGTGCCTTTGACTCAACAATCAACGATTGCCTTGTTCGCCTACCCTTGCTTTAGGCGATGATCACTTTCCGCAGCCCTGTCCTCCTGGCCAGGTCAGCCCTTCCATCCACCCCAAACTAGATGAACCTCTGGCAGATTGCGTCGAGCAGTGCGTGCATGCGGGTCATATTGCCTGAACCCCGTTGTGTGTTGGTGCTTAGGTTCCACGCCCGGATCATCGTGGATGCGAGTATTGTGATGCTGGCGAAATCATTGTCAACGGACAATGTCAAGCCTGCCCCGAGAACTATTGGAGCTTTCAGTCGAGCGTCTGTCATCAGGCAAGTGACGTTTGGAAGACTTTCAAACGCACATGTTTCGATTGCCATGAAGCCAGCAACTAAGCCCATCCTGCCCGGGACCCCTATGTCTAGGTGTTTGTTCAGTGCCCTTTGCCCATTTTCGCCTCCGAATTCACCGGCAGCACGCTTGATGCTGTTGTCATCAACCCTTATTGGGACGGTATGTGTAAGCGAGGCGTGCGCCGACTCTGACTCTGACAGGAATACTTGATCACGCACGAGAAAACGCGAATGTTGATAAGGCATGTTGCTGGCGCATTGTAGATATAACGTTGACCGTCAACTTGGACGTGCAGTCGGGGGTTGAGATTTTCACAGTTCAGCTCGACTCATCGGTGGCCCGAGACTCTGAGGAGGAGGGCCCAGTATTTGAGTGCCGGCGACTCCTCCTCTCTGGTGCCATGGTCGATGTGGAGGTGGATGACATTGGCTTGGCACGCCAAGGCGCCACTTTGTCCCAATACTTGATGACCGATGTGTCCCTACTTGGCGGTGGCGCTGCACCTCCCATTCTGCATGTGGTGGATCTAGGTGATGAACCCGCACTCGGCCTGGCCTTTCGCAGCTCCAGTCTGTTAACGGTGGATGACATGGCAGCAGAAGGCATATTGCAACTCAAGTTGCAAGCCTATTATTGTCAAACATACCGCTCCGATGTACCCAGCCTCACTGGCACGCGCCACGTGGGCACCGGACGGGCCTATTTTGACCCAGGCGCTCTAGATGCGGCACAATATCTCGAAGTTACGGAAGCCCCCCCAGCCGCACGCAGCACATCCTTCGACGGCAATCTCACCATCATCGCAAGCGCCGACGAGTCGTGCTGGGGCCTCGAATTTCTTGTTGAAGCTGATTTGGGCGGACTCATCTTCGACGTTTTACGCCTACACTTACCTGTGCCATCAAACGAACTACGCACTATCCTTGAAAATCGCGTATGGCTGCCAGTGTCGGACACTAGACTAGCAGTCCAGGCGATCATGCAGGCTGATGCCCATGCCGATGCCCGTCTGCTTGCGAGTGGCGACAACTTTGCCCCGTACTTTATCACTTGCAGCGACCAAATCATAACCGTGCATCAGCTTGACTCGCAGGCCACCGTCACGTGGGTACCGCCTGTAGCCATGGACAACTCTGGCTCAGTCGAACAGCTCACCAGCAACTTTGAGCCCGGCACTCGAGTGGACTGGGTTGAACTCCCCTTACCTATCACCTACAACGCCCGTGATGCCGCTGGCAACGAAGGCCGCTGTAGCTTTTACGTCAACTTGCTCAACACGGCTTGGACGCGCCAGCTAGTGAAGAACTTGCGATACACAGGTGGCCAATTCCCAACTAGCATCGATGATCGTGGCCTGCAGCACACCCACATTGTGACGCCCGGTGCTCCGGCATTGTTTGCTGACAATGTTGAGCTTGACAGCTCCATCCAACAGCTCGAGTGGCGCCTCGAGGCTCCCGAACTCTACACCTTCAAGGTTTGCCAAGCATGCCCGGGTTGCGCTTTTCTCTCTCTCTCTCTCTCTCTCTCTCTCTCTCTCTCTCTCTCTCTCTCTCTCTCTCTCTCTCTCTCTCTCTCTCTCTCTCTCTCTTCTCTCTCTCTCTCTCTCTCTCTCTCTCTCTCTCCTGGTGAGTCTGGGTTTGCAATGACTCTTCGTGCTTTCACTTGTTTCCCTTTCTGTTTGTTTCTTCGATGATTTAAATAGCTACAACGGACCAATCATATGTTTGAAGTTGTCTTGGTATTTGCTGTCAACGACCCAAGCGCCACGGCAGACACTATCCTGTTACAAGCGGATTTGATTGCGCCGCAAGGCTCCACCGGGGAAAGCCTCGACTTGTTGGCCAATTGGTTTGCCGTCAAAACCTGGTACTTGGCGGACGGGTACCTTTTCGTTCGTGGTGCCGGTGCCCCCCACATTCCCGACAATCTGTCTCACATCAAAGCCACCGGACTTAGCCTTGTGCTGACCTTTCCCGCCGGCGTACACTTCTCCACGGCTCAGCTCGAGCTGACCCCTATATCTGCCGCAATGGACGTGGTGTCCAGCCTGCAGCAAACCGTCTTCTCCGTGGTCAAGCTTGATGCCAAGCCGCCTGTCATCTACTGCCCTGCTGACGTTGTCGAAATTGTGGACAGCGCCAATGATACGGCCAACTTGAGCGCTGCCGTGCTTGAGCCGGTGCGGTTCAGTGATGACAGTGGCCTCGTTGAGCTTTTACCCTTGGTCAACATGACTTTTGGGGTTGGGCGTCACACCGTAACACGCGTGGCCGTGGATCCGTCCAACAACACGGCCAACTGTAGCTTTCGCATAGTGGTGGTAGAGCGAGGCACTGAGCTGCCCGACGATGACGACGCTGGTGGACCAGCTCCACCGCTCACAACACGCGGGACTTTTACGCAAGACAACGGTACTGACCTCGATTACGAAGCCGCCTCCGGCGGCGACAAGTCGGCTGTTGATGGCGGTGTCATTGCCGGAATGGCTGCGGGCATCAGTCTGCTTACGCTTGTCATGATTTTTCTGTTCCTTCGCAAGACGCGGTACGCACGCGCATGTGCATTCCCTGATTCTTAACTTTTTGAACCGCCCAGAGTTGGGGTGACGCTCACACCTGATGCTGAATTTCGGGCGTATACTCGCTTTGATTCGACAGACAACTGAATGCCATGGCTCGGAAGGGCATCAACTTTCAAGATCAGCTGCAAGAGTTGCAAGGGCACCTGGTAGGCCAAGACGGGCTTGTCACGCCTCACGAAATCAAGCGCCATCATCTCAAGGTTCTCGAGGTGGGTCGTGGGCCGTCAGCAGCCTGCAAAGATGCTTTAAAGAACTCACGAAAGAAGCGCTTGCTGCCAGATTCTGGGAACTGGCAACTGGGGTGTCGTCTCCAAAGGCATGCTTGAGGAACACAAATCGGCTGGTATGTTGAGAAGAGGCAGATTTGCCTCGAACGACTTTCATCCCAACCTGCGGTGACCCTCCTCCCCATTCATTGACTTGTATGGCGCGTTGAACTAGGCATCCCTGGATTCATTGTGGCTGTCAAAATTCTCAAGCAAGGCAATACCGAGGCTGTCATAGAGCTGGTGAGTTCAAGTAGCCGCTTTGCGTCTGATCCCCTTCTCGTCGGCACGTTTCTCATTCTGTGTTGCTCTGGCTGATAGAGTCGTGAGGCCGCGTTTATGGCTCAATTTAATCATGACAATGTGGTGCGCCTTCACGGCGTCGTGACGGTGAATGAGCCGGTGGCCATGGTCATGGAGTACTGCGAGCATGGGAGTTTGCAGGCTTACCTACGAAAGCGAGACATGCGTTTAATCAGTCGTCTCTCTGTGGCACGGGATGCCGCCGCCGGCTTGGCATACCTCAGTGGACGCGGTTCGTGCGCCATTGACAGCTCTTGCTCGAGGCATTTTTGAACAATACTTGAAGTCATCGGTCATGTTGTGCCACTCTCGCCTAACGGGTTATGTGGTGATGGTGGGCGATGTGCACAGGTGTTGTTCATCGAGACGTGGCGGCTCGCAACATTTTGCTTTCCAGGTACATAGCACGCTTTTGAGAGGCCAGAAGCAGGAAGCAGACGACGGTCTTTTACAGCGGTTAACCATGTTACCTCACAGCTCCATGTGCTTTTGATCCTGTGTGATGTATGGTAGCGACTACCGGGGGAAGGTGGCTGATCTTGGCCTCACGCGCGAAGCTGGTAGCAACAGCGAGTACTACACCTCGCGCGGCGGTGCGATTCCCGTGCGGTAGGTTCCAAATCCACGTGTCTGCTTGACCTGGCACAATGCAGCCAGCTCATGATCTGCACTGACAACAATTATTTCAGGTGGTCTGCTCCCGAGGCACTTGAAGAACACAAGTTTTCGCAGGCATCAGATGTCTGGAGTTGGGCCGTCACGTTGTATGAAATTCAAACGCAAGCGCGACTACCTTATGAAGGCATGTCCAACCAGAAAGTGTGGATCAGTGTTGCGGGTGGCTACCGTCTACCTCGCCCGGAGGAGACATCGAGTAAGTCTGACCTCGAAAACAGCCGCTGGCTTGAGAAATGCCGCATCTTATGACCAAATGTAGCTCATGGTGGTTCAATGTGGTGCTCGTTGCTGTTGTTTATTTTGTTTCTTTCGCGCATGGCGACCTCGCGGGGGCAAACTCAGATGAACTATACGATTTGATGTGTTCATGCTGGTCCGACGTGCCCAAGGAACGTCCTTCCTTCAAGCAGTTGGAAGTGCAAATGCAAAACATGATCAATGATCTGCACGAGGCCGAGACGACGCGGACCATCGCCCACAACAGCGCATACAGTGACTCGTTTACACCGCGCCGCCCTGCGACAGCGCAGCGGAACAGCGGTCCCAACTTTTACTTGGACGACATGTCCATGGGACGACGCTCGCGCACTGGCAACAGCAGCAGCTGCTGCCTGACGAGTCGAGCCGGTAGTGTCTGCACCAGCTTGGGCGGCATGAACAGCCGAGCAACCAGCATTAGGGGGAACATCAGCCGTAACCCTAGTCTTCGCGCGTGTGAGAGCCAGCTGACGCTTTTGGAGGACGACGAAGACGAAGAGATGCGGGTCCGGAGTCAACGAAGCTCACCTCGCGGGTCAGTGGATTTGGCTGTACTGGCCACGGGATCAACAGCGAGCTCGCGAGGACCCTCGCGAGCAACGACGCCAGTACGCATTGCCGTGCCCCCCACGGTGTTGGAGGCCATGTCTGAGGATCGCGACTCGGTCCGTTTGGACGAACTGCCGAACGACGAGGCCATGTGTGAGGTCGACCCAGACTACGCGCCCCGTGCCATGCTGTCTCTACGCCGAATGGCCAGCGAAGGGTCTCAGAGCGCAGGGATGCCATTGGCCACGTCCCGAGTACCGTCGGCGAGTGGCACTGCTGCGGCATCCGAGGCCGGAGACGATGAATATGAAATTGCCGTGCCCCTCGACACGCGCAATCTCTATGCACCCTTGCTCAACGCCAGCAACGCCGTTTTGTACGCCGACGATGACATGCTGGGCTTAACACCAAATAGCAGCGAGACACAGGCCCTGGCAGCTTTGAGGAGCACCATGGGTTCCCATGGGTTGGATGGATATGAAGAGTCTTCTGTTGGCCGGCTCTCAAGTGCAGCCTCGAGCGATAGTGATGCGGGACAAGTGTATGCCTATGACTTGCCAGCAGAAATCCGATCGCCACTCGGTCAAGACGCCAATCCGCCTGCATCCGAGCCCAAGCTTATGTCGATTCAAGAGCGTATTCGTAGCCTCGTATCCTAAGGTGATGATCTGTTGAGTGCGCAAGAAAGTCGCTGCGATGCTGAGCCCAGTGCCTTTGTGATGATAAGATTAGAATTTCCCCTGTGAGTGGCGGGCCGCCTTTGACGGTCACATCGGCCTCGTTCTTTATTTGTCCTTTGCTTTGTGAGTGCGCTTGGCATCACTTGCTCGCCTGGGCTCTCTGAAAGGATGAAGCACGGCGCATCGAGGCGAGCGCGAACCCAAACGCTGCTCTGACCTCTTTGACTAGACTTGTAATGAAAGGAACCAATTGATCAGATTTAGCTCCCACCACGGGCTCTCCAATCCAATCACACCCCGCCCTGCTGCTGCTTTGGTTCAACCCCGTGAAGCACCGACGTGACAGAAACAGCCTGAGCAGCGCCCACGCACACCCCCTCATCCCCCACCCTTGCTGCTTGCGAAAGGGGTCGCCCCATCTTACGCTGTGACAACAACAGCAAGTGAGCACTTGCCCCTCCCACCGCACAATTTTGAGTATGTCCGCTCGATTTCCATCTTGTCCGCTACAATGCCAAACGCGCTGGCGCCGGTTGCGTTGACCATGGAGCGTCGTCAGCCGTGCACATGCTTTTGTTGTGGGTTCCCCTCGAGCGCCTTGATCCCCCTTGATCCTGTACCGCACGCGCCCCTCTCCTTGTGAGCTCGTGCTTTGCCCCCACTCTTGATCGCTTGCTGGCCTGTTGACGTGCCCTCCTCCTCTTCTCCCCCCCCACACACAGAGAAGTGCCTTGTCCTCGAGAAGGGTGGCGCTTGCATCCATCATCTACCAGCTGTGCTTTGGCCACCATACCACGTCCCTCTTCTGTTGCGATCACCCCTGATGATCCACCGTCACCGCTCAACCCTGACCAGCTTCGACGCTGCATTGACCAGACCAATCACTTTTTCCCCTACAGTCACACGCTCTTACACTCCCTTCATCAACTTCGTGGCGCCATCGCCCCGGTGCACTTCATCCCTTCGAACACCAAGGCGCTGCCACCTGCCCTGTCAATTTGGACCTGACCTCGCGCGCACACTCCCACCGCACCGCAAAACCACATTCAGACTCGTGAATCCCTGCCTCCACAGGTTCACGCACCCATCTTCCTCACTCAGTCGCTGCTGCCCTTTCATTCATTGCACGACACCCCGCCGTTCGCGACGGCTGGGCCTCTCTTATCAGAGGCTTGACCCTCCCCATCCGCCCCATCGCGCCCAAGCGCCTTGGGTGTTGTGGTTGTCTTTCTTTTGACGACTAGGGCAGAGGGGAAGCTGCGCTGCTCTGCCGTAGCCATGCCTCATTTGCGGCAGCGCCCTCAAACCTGGGCGTTGGTCCTTTTGCTCATCGCCACTGTTCTGAATAACGTTGCTCTGGCGCGTGTGGATTGTCGGGTGGACTCATGTACCAACGGGGGTGCCTGTGTCGTTCACGGCAACTTCACCGAGTGTGTCTGCCCCAGCGCATGGCAGGGCTTACGTTGCCAGTACCCCACCGTCTGTAGAACCAACTTCGACTGCGCCCGCGGTCTTTGTCAAAATGGCAAATGCTCTTGCCCGGGCAACTGGGGCGGCGGCGCTTGCGAGTTGCGCTTCACAGACCTCGGCTACTTCTACGACCTTCAGCAGGACAAAATCGAAGCCTGCCCTACTGGTGCGTGACAGCTCACGGGATGCGTGGCGGGAGCCCACGGTATCATCGCCTGCCCAGTTGTCACAGCCCCTTCCTCTTCTCAGCGCATTGATGCCTTGAATCGAACAGGTACCTACAGTTCCGCCCTATACGGCTCGGTATGCCGACCCGTGATTTTGGGCCAATTCCCCATCCGCTTTGGCATTTACGCCGACAGCGCCGCCACCCACATCACGGGCTGTCCACAAGACCACGAATGTATTCCCCCCACATACGAGCCGATTGCGTGTGACGAGTGAGTGGCATGACGCCCCAGCCCCAGCCCCAACCTTTTGGGTTACGGCGCCATCTTTTTGCCACGTCTTCACCTCAATGCCTTGCGCCTGACCCTATCCTCATCTTACCTGTTGCCCATTTTTGCCGCTGACGCTGTTCAGTGAGGAGACGGCCTCGTACGAGTCAGGCATGTGCTCCGATGACGCCTGCCCGCCGGGCTGGACCGGTGACTACTACTGCGAAAAGTGCCCCTCTGGTCCGTTCCCGGCTGTCATCGCCCCCGTGCCCGATCTATCGAACCTGTCCATCCAAGCCGGCATGCTCCTTTGCCCACCTTTCTCATTCGAGTATGATTTGACTAGGCACTTACAAAAACGAAACCAGCCGGGCACCATGCACCACAGTCCCCACCGGCTATTATGGTAAGAAGTCACACCTCCGAGCATGTCGTGTCAGTCAGAGTGTACGCCTCAATGCCAACACTGACCACGACTCTTCTCGCGCTGCCGTACAGCCACCATTGTCATGGACGAGTACGTGTCGTCCTACGAGTTGAACGGAATGAATCCCGCACCCGTTACTAGCCGTGCCTCGGATATTCGCTCGTGCCCACCCGGCTGGGCCTGTCTTGGCGGGAGCATCAAACCCTTTCGATGCCCATCCGGTTTAGTGCGTGAGCTCAAGTCCCTCGCCGCCTACACTTGACCCAAGCCAGCGTACACTCGCTGGCTCTTGGCACGCGGGCCGTCTCACAAAGTTGCGGTTTTGGCTAGGCTAAGCCGGCGAAGGATTCCTGCCGCCCCTGCCCGGAGAATCACATCAACAACGGCCAATTTGCCGCTTGCATCCCCTGCCCGGCCGGTACCTTTGCCTTTTCCGACACGGAATGCCTCAAGGTCAGCCTCGTGCTCAACCTGAGTAGAACACGTCGTTGCCATGCCACCACTAGAACCACCATCGCAAAGCAAAAAATCTTTGTCCTCATGTGCCACCAACTTCAACATTCAATAGATTTTCACAGAATGCCCAGCCAGCATGTATTCGGCCTCAGGAGCGGCACCATGGATAAGCACCGCTGATTTGCGCGTGTCCTTTGGTAGCTTGACACCTGAAGATGTCCTACACCCATACGTGCTCGACAATATCAGTCAGTGCCGAGAAGCCGTTGTGCGCCTTTTTTAATGCCCGAGCTATCCACGGCGTGAGCTGATCCTCACACGGGCATCTTGACCTCTTGACTGCCTTTCTGCTCTCGCCGCTTTGCCAGGCTATACCTATGAACAGCACTATTACAGCAGCGAGGACCTTCAAGAATTCACCTTCAATGTCACCTTGAACCTATACTCTGGCAGCACGCCCACTTTTTCCTGTGTCATCCGCGACATCATCTCCGATGGGTGGACAGAATACGTCGACGACCTGGGTCGACTGCAACAAGGGTCTGTGCTTCGCCAATATCTGGCCTCAGACACCATGCTCGTCCAGGGCGGCACATACGTCCCAACACTGGAGATCAATCGCACGCCATCCCGACTTAGCGCCAAGATTAGCAGCCACACGCCAATCACCTACGATGGGCCCTCCTTTGTGGGCCAAGGTACCACACTCATTGCTGAGCTTGTGTACTGCGATGCAGATGCCAGCAACTCCCGCGTGCGTGGCACAAGTGACCCAGTGGATGTGGAATTTGCCTTCCTGGGCGGTGGACAAATGTCGACCACGAGCTTTGATTACAACGACATTATCGCCGGTACCTTTCTCCCCCTGGACACAAACAACTTTGTTGTGACCGCGGAGGCACATGAAAATTCCGCTAATTTTGTGCGAGCTGATCCCACCAAACAGTGCTTCCAGTTGCACGCCGAGCTCTCCATGGACGGATGGCCTAGCATTGAGTCAACTGAAATTGTGGTCAGCTTCATCCTGCCTCCTTCTTTTGCCAACAGCCTGGGCAACAACTCCATGCTCTACCCGGTTGCCGGCTCCGCCGTGTTCTTCCAGAGCAGCTTGACAGAGCAACAGGAAGCCTCCAGGACCAACGTGATTATATCGGGCGATTTTTCCGCACCCATCTTTGTTGGATGCAAGGACGTCGTTTTTGTTGTTAACACCACGGACTCTCAAGTGGCAGTCAATTGGACGGTGCCTTCAGTGCTTGACAACGTCGGTGTCACGGCTTTCTATGCCAGCGCCACACCTGGACTCGTCAAATCTTGGAACGATCTTCCCTTGACAGTCACCTACGACGCCAACGATGCCGCTGGAAACCATGAATCGTGTACAATGGTCATTGACGTGCGCAACATTGCTTGGTCTGAGGCGACGCTTGCCGTGCGCATGCTCAACCAAGCCACTACCTTTGCTGCCGAAGAAGTTGAGTCGCAACTTAGCACATTGATGCGCCGCATCTCTTTGCTTGATCCTATCGATTCGAACCCCTTTCAAGATTTCCAGATTGACCTGGACGACGCCTGTGTCTGGGCATGGCGCATTCAAGCACCAACCAACTTTCAATTACAGGTCTGTCCTCCAACAGGGCTTGCCCTCGCATCCTTGATTGTCACCATCTCACGTGGGCCGGACCGCTTGTGATTGGGGCCTTTATTTATTAAATAGAAACGTGGTGGCTCGAGCAGTCTTGAATTTCAGCTGGTTACGACCATGGATGCTGTGGTAGGAAGTATTGACAGCAGCTTTTTCAACCACGCATTTGTTCGCGTCGATTTTGAGAATCTACTTCATGCAAACACCCAAGCCCCCGCGCAGCTTGATGCGCACTGGTTCCAGGCCGAATCGGTGCTGGACGACCGCGATGGCTACAGGCTACGAATCTGGGGCAGCGGTGCAGATGAAGTATTTGACAGGCACCTGGTGTTTTCAGCAATGAACATTCGCATCGTTTTGCCCGAGTTGACTCGATTACAGACTCAAGATGTGCACCTCTTAAACTTTTCCGTGCGATGGGCAAGCCTCGACCTTCGCATCCCCGCATCTACGGACGATCCCGAGAACTTTCTGACGCTCATCAAGGAAGACTCGGAGCCACCACAGCTCACCTGCCCACTGGATATGGAGCGCACTCTGGGTGAAGACGAGTCTTCCTACATCCTAAGCTATGCCGAGGCCGTTCCACGTTTGCTAAGAGACAACAAGGCCCGTGTTATTCTGCACAACCTGACGCGAAA